CTGTCACGTGGAGCTTGAGCATGCTTGAGCTGTGCTAACATCAGTGATCACCGACTGCTGAGGCACACACAGAGGGAACATCAGGGAACTAAACCGTTTTCCCGACCTTTCATTCTACCTTTCATGTTTAGACCTTTCATTTTAAAGCAGGGCTCCCACTCAGCCCATACAGTGTCACGGCAAGAGGGCTCCAAGCTGCTCCAGGGCAGCGTGGGGTATTGCAGCGCAGCGAGGAACTCACACCGTGATTGCGTTGGAAGCCAACTCACGGCGTGATGTTGTGCAAAGCATCCTGTTGAAGTAAGGACCTTTAGTACCAGGACCCTCCGACAGGTCACCAATTGAGACCTGTTAGGGGTCCAACAACCCTCAACTAACAGCCTGTTGGAGGGTGCTGGTATATGAATTCTCATCATCCGCTCGTACAGTGTCGGGGTAGAGTAAAAATGGTCTATACCAGCATTCGCAAAGGAGTGGTGTGGCTCGTCCCATCCAGCGCACCCCGCGCGGGGCAACTTCGTCGGATAGCACCCAACTCGCTCTGTGAGTGGTCACCGTTTTGGTGTCTCGTCTCGCATGTCCACTGTCCCCGTCATCTTGAAACGGCACAGGCGAATGGCACTCGAGTATGGCGGAGCTTGGAGCAGCAGGCCGGAGATCATGTGAGCTCCGTTGGTGCGGCATGCTTGGTGGCGTTGTCACAACGTAGAAGACAAACCCATCCTAAAATGCTTCAATCTTCTTGATCTTGTGCAGTGTTTTTTTTAAAGATGTGGCCAAAATGAACTCAAGATGCAGGTATCCTGATCGGAAGTCATAAGATGCACTACCACGAATTCTGTAGGCTATAGTCTCTAGGTCCAGGTAAAATTTGACAGCCAACATTGACATTCACTCTCGCCTGGGTTACTTCCTGGGTCACGGGAAAATCCATGGAAACTGATGGAAACTCCGAATCCAGTCACCATTAAGTGTATGTTTGCGCACGTGCCCCTTCTGGAGATCCACCGAAAAAGAGCTCCAAACAGTGGCACCCTCCCCACTCCAAACCAAAACCGCTCCAACCATATCGGTGCTTGGGGTGGGTGGGTGGTTTCGGGGAGTCCGTCCCCACCGGTTCCGGGCGGAGGATGGGCTGGGAGCCCGCACCCCGCAACCGGTTCACCTCGGCACCGGTCGCGGAGAATCCGCCAACCGCAGGAGCTCGGAGCAGCGGTGCACGTGCCGAACCGAGTGGAGCGGGAGCAGAGGGGGTTCTTCACCACATCGGAACCGCCCCTAGGGATCCAGTCGTACCGAAGGCATCTGGACCCTGGAACCCACCCCAGTCCCACCGTACCTCAGAGGGTACGACTGGATCCCGGATGGGCACGCAAGCAAAACCACCAGCATCCTCCAAGAGGTCACGACGGTCACGACGTTAAAGGTCTGCAAAACCACCGTTTCGGAGGCCTGTTGGAGGGTCCTGGAAGTGATGTGTTTTTGGAAACGTTTTGAAACCTGGACCCTCAACAGATTAAGAATGTTCATCACTGACTATTGGGATTTCTTTCCTATTGGGCCGGTTTGGCCGATTCCAACCAAAAGTGAACCGTCTCAACCAAAAACGAACGTTAGCGCTGCTCCTCTTCTTTTTTTGATGCGCACACTTTAACGTGTCCAATCAAGTGGAAAGCCTGTAAGCCACAGTGCAAACAAGTGTGCTATCAATGAACGTCTGAGTGGGTCCAAGTGATTCTTGTTGGATAGCACGTCCCTTTTTCCACTCATCATCCCTGCCAAGGGAAACCTCTCTGAAGTTCTAGTTGTGTGATGGGAACTCGATGAAATCCTGAAGACCATCAAAAACCCAAGAGTACAGAAATCCGGATTTGCGTACTTTTGCAGGTTTTTGGGTACTATTTGCGTGCGGTTGCGTACTATTTTGCGGATGTGTTTATGTACGTGTTGTTTCTTGTACCCTTGGCATGAAAAAGCAACTGTGCAGATTAAATGTTGCATATCGAGCCGAGTGAATACCAATAGCAGCGTTTGATGGATGCTGCATGTCTGAATTAGTGGGGGCTAACTCAGCATCCAGCTCTTCACAAAGGTGAATGCTAGGAATGAGGTACTTTTGTGTTCGACCCTGTCAGCATGGCTTCAAAATGCTGTTAATTACAGTTGTTGTTGCAAACCTCCAAAGTTCAAGCTTCCTATCCTCAGTCCAATAGTCCAATCAGATAAGTTTTCATGAATTGAACGATTCTCCTTGCTCAACTCCAATTATGGCACTATTGGGCCAGAATGTCCAGTTTGAACGGTTTCAAGGTTTTGCGACCTTTGAAACAGTGTTTTACTGCTTTAATTACCAAGGATTTTAGACGACCAAACCCGGTCAATCCGAGCGCATTCCAACCCTCAGAGATGGTCATCATGACCGGACGGATGACGGATCCCTGTCGCCGCACTCTATGGCGCCGGCCACGAATACCACCAGCTTAGTAGGCCATCTTGGCGCTGTCCAGGACTGCAGTCCGAACATGGCCTACATGGCCGAAGGGTGGTGCCGAAGGGTGGGGCTTCCAGGGCGCCATGTATGGCCTGAACGGAGCTCCCAGCCGTTCTGACGCCCCTGGAAGGTTCGGGTAGCTACTACCCCAACCTCGTGTGAGCGCTGGGGGAAGTGAGGCATGCTCCGGTGGTGGTCGCAGGTGGAGCTCGGACTCCTGACGAAGCCTCGCAGGGCCAAGCTTTCGGCTGGGAAGCGCAGGGAGTGGGGTGAGGTGGCGAGTCGGGAGTCACCCAAGCAGCTGGCGAGGAGCCAAGCAGCTGGGGAAAACTCGTTGGAGATAATCTGAGAGATTCAATTCCCTCAAGGCACAGGGTTCCAGTCTCACATCCGAAGTCGGTTCGGTGGTTGGGCGGGTGGTTCCAGCTGAGTCAGTCCCCACCGAACCTGAGGATATGGGCCAGGAGCCCAAACGGGATTCTTCAGAAATATTATGAAATATTCAGAAATGACTCTGGCGGGCCCTGTACAGGAGTCTGGATGCATCTCATCTATCTTGCCCCAACCGATCCCTGCTCACTGTAGTACAGTACATTGATTGTGTGAAGTGACCTTAAGTGAGATTATTACAGCTCATGCAAGGCACCATAACACTTCAACAGCTCATCTTGACAGTGGATGCAGAACCCCCATATAACCCCCCAGTAGTCCTGATTTTGCTTGAGGTGATGTGGTTTATCTTCTGTGCATCTTTTTAAATGTTTTCCAGGTTGCTGGATGGCAAATTCAAATCCAAGTAGTGGAGTGACCGCACTGGGCACTGGCAGACGGTCGGACTGTTGGTTTTCGAAGATGGACAAGTTTTGCCAAGCAGAGTGGCAACTGGCCTATAGTGGACCATGTCAAGCCATTCTGCAGGTACTGTACCCTCCAGCAGATCAACATGGACCCCAAAACCATTCCCGTTGGTCTTTACTCAGAGGGTCGAAACCACCAAAGGGGCATCCTCAGGGTTTCTTTGGGATCGTCCTGCAGGTACTGAGACGGTGATTCCTCCGTTCGATGCCCCAAAAACCACCCTGCGTTGCGTGGACTCGTGACCAAACCTTGGGAGTCCGTATACCGACCCAACAAGCCCTCGTCCAAACAGCTCCAGTCTGACCCAATAAAACCTCATCATATATACCTCGTTGAGTAGTGATGACGTCTATGATCAACTGCAGTAAAGTGAGCTTAAACATCACGAACTGAAGAAGTTGGTATGTTTATTCTTCTCCCCGGATGCCACCTGTTCTCGAACCTATGGAGGGATCGCTCAACCAAACCGGGAGGGGTCTGGCGGACCAGACATGACCAATCCCGGTTTTGAGGGACCAGTCAGACTGGTTTTACGCACGTTTGGGCGAATCAACCGTCAACATGAAAGGATGCAGACTGGAATGACTGGTTTTGGTTTTGTATCAGGTGTGCACAAATTGCTGATGTCGACCCATCAAGACGCGGAAGAGTGTTGTCCCAGGGTCTATGACGGAGGAAATGCATCCGGATCCTTTTCCTCAGTGTTTGTGAGTACCTGTGGCAAACCTGCAAACCAAGTGATGTGTCAATATGGGTTCTTTTTGAAGAACAAGACATGGAAGATGCGCTAATAGAACGGAGCACAAGCCTGCTGAGTGTAATGCAACCTCACAAGCTCCAACTTGGGTGAATGACCATTTTGGTTGATGCAACACTTCACATCAAAGATGTAGACTGTAGACTCTTGATTCACAACCCCCCTGCCCCTACCTTGTTCATATTAGGGTGAAATATCATCAAACGTCTACATGACTTACATGTCTTCTATCATGTTCGTTGTAGGGAAACCATCCGTTTTTGGATCACTCCGAATGAGTACTATACACCTACTTTGCTGCCCGCGCCGCACCGCCACTCAAAGAGCTTGCAATTGCAAGCGCCGTTCGACCGTTTCACTGGGCAAAGCCCATCTAGAATCTGGACATCATGGCACTAAGTTAGCAACCTCGGTTGCTAGCATCGATGCGGTCGATGGTTGGATATCCCTCCTAGAAGATGTCCCCCATGAGGGCACCACATGACATGGAGACTTCAATCCGAAGTGGAGAATCAGCCTTCCTTGCGGAGTTTCAGGGAGACAAATGTTGAGATCAAGGGATGTCTATTCCATATCTATTCCCTAAACTGGAGTGACAAGTGACAAGTCTGAGCAAGCTACCCAGCTAGAGACTCGGACAGCGGCTGAGGATTCCACAGGGCTTCAATCAGATATAGGGATCCCTGGTAATATGATTTAATCTTCCGCTTCTGGGGTGAATCCCCTTCTGCATGGGAACAATGATTGGCCCAAACTCTGAAACTTTGGCACCGAGATTCGTCGGTACATTCAGCTTTTGCAGAGCAGCTGACCTCCCTCCTTCCCCTAGCCCGGAAGCCCGAGCAGATCGCCGGCAGGTGGAGTTCGTTCCGTTCACCTTTAGAAAAGGCTGATTCCGATCAAAAGAGCTCGACAGACCCAGACACGCCAACAGCTCAGCCTTCGTGGTGACCACTTTTTTTGTTCACCAGTCCACACCAGTCCCCCGGTCTGCCCGTAGGATAAATCCTAGTACCATCACCCACAGCCATGTGACACACACCAACAGATTGTTTGCATCCGCTTCCTCTGCCATTGCAAAAGCGATGAACGATGAAGAGGCCAGGTGTCCATGACGTTTTTTCTTGGACAGATCAATGTGGTTTGATGGTCGCACGGCAGCTGAGTGTATGATTTGTGTGTGTGTGTGTTGATTCTTTATCCCAGACCATCCATGTGTGTGAATAGGTACATAATATATACATGAAAACCACATGAAAATGACCCCAATGTAGGTAACCATTCCAGTCTCATGGATGGTCTGGGTACGTTCCTTTGTTTGTGGCTGGAGAATCTGATTGTCTCCGGAAAAGTCTCTCAGTGAACTCATCAGAATTGCTGCTCAACTGCTATGAGGACAGTTTTTGCTTACTTTACAAAAGCTTACCCTGACAGGGTCGACCCGGTCGATGAACAGGTTTCAAACCTGTGGCATGTTCCATGTTTGAAGGGGAACTTCAGTGGGGTCCAGGTAGATATCAGGCATTACAAGAAGCTACGTTCGGAGCATTTCGAGCGATCGGACGCCGAACGGAGCAATCGGACGCGACTCGATCGGGGCTCCTCGCCATACTAGGACTAGGAACAAGAAGCTACTACCCAGAGGCTCATGGACCCTCAAACTGCTACGTGTTTGAGGTCCAAAACCCTGGCTATGAGGGTCCAATGAGCCTTTGGGTAGGTCCAGATCCAAGACGTGCGGTGCCCTAATAGCGTACTAGTAGCGTCCATTGTTCCCACTAGTAAGGCCAGGAGCCCCGATCGAGTCGCGTCCGATCGCCCCGTTCGGAGCCATGCCCGAAATGCTCCGAACGTAGGGATTTCTGGTGGGTTCTTCTGCGATCGTTCCGTTCGGTCCAGATTCGTGTTCATGGCGGATCATGGCCTTTCGGGGATGGTGGATCACGCTGCTGGTGGGTCCAAACCCAGACCAGACGAATGGGATTGGAAGAGTGACCTACATTGAGGGATATACATGCCCTAGGGATCCAGTTGTACCTTCTCAGGTACGGTGATTGAAGACTATTTATGTAGGCGCCAGGAGGGCCCAGTCATACCGAACGTGAGGTTCGGTATGTGGATCCTTAGGGATGGGTAAGATGTTGGGTCTGTCCTATGACCTGTAACAGTCAGGAAACAAGCAACTCTCTAGAGAGGTCGGCCTGCTAAGCATCCTCCACTGGGCCCAGGATAGATCGGACAGACCCAAGGTAAACCTGTACCCCCCAAAAAAGCCAGAAACAGTTCTGGTTGTTCCAATATGGCGCCAGCTTGAGATCCTTTACATAGCAACTGGGGGACGGTGAAAACATATGGAAACATCCATTTCTGGTTGGGACTGGGTTTTCAGTACCCGTTTGGGCTCCTTTCCCATCTCCTCAGGTTCGGTGGGGACTGACCCCCCGAAACCACTCACCCCAAAACCCACCGAACCGACTTCGGAGGTAGGCCAGGAGCCCTGTCACGGGATTGTAACTCCCTAGGCCTCCAGTCGTATCGTTTCGTGGTTGGTGGGACTGGGGGCCACGGGGGGCGGGGGGTGCCATGGGACCGGGTCCAGTCAGACCGAACCAGGTTAGGGACCTACTCGGAGGTGTAGGGACTATTCTAGACATGGATGGTGTGGGTCGACGGTCTTCGGTGACGCGCGAACGAAAACCCAGTACGCAGCACATGAGGTAACAACTCACCTGAGTGCGCTTTCCTTCGGGAAACCTTGACATGATCCCAAGACGGCCATATTTACCTGGTTTGGGTGCTATGTTTTCTTTTTGAGGCTGCATCTATTCCAGTAGACAGGTCGTCTGAAATGGACACATAAAAGCACCATGTCCATCCTCTCCTGGACTGTCACAAGCTCCACTGGGCGGGTGTTTCAACCACGCGACGATGCGAGGAGAGCGAGGAGATCTCAGATGCCACCCTCGAACGCAACGACACCATGGAGATGGAAGAGGATGGAGATGAGGCGGGACGGTCGGACGGATGTCGTGTCTTCTTGAATGCAAACCGTCAAGGATCCGCGGAACGGAGATTCAGGATGCGCGGAACGGAGTACGGAGATACTGGTTTTTGGTTTGGGGGAAGTGGGGGGGGGTTGATGGTGATGTTCCCAGTTCCCGGGGGGTGCATGCCCTGGCGAAGATGCTGTTGATGATTGGTGTGTTTTCCCGGTGTCTGAATACCAAGTGATGTAGACCCTTGATTAATAAACCCTCCCTTTGAAGAGGATGTTCAATTCAAATGGGGGGGTGAGTTGCTCCAACACTTCGTTGGTCATGATACCCTGTCGTTGGATCTGCTGAGCCTTGTTGCACACCGACAAACAGGGCGTTCTCAAACGTCCAGAGGGTTTTCCTTGAATGCCCTTCAGGTCAATGACCTCATTTCACTGGAATTGGTCCGCAATCCCACCACCACCCCATTCAAAGTGGGCCTGGTCTCGTTCGAAGTGAGCCTGTATCTCGCGCAGTTGAGTAGCACCTGATATATACCGATGCGTCAACATTCGCGTCCTGGGCCGTTCGTCGGTGCAACAAGATCATCGACTCGGGGGAGACAGATGCGGTGCCGAGACCGAGGCCCTACGTAGCTCACAGTCCCTGTAGACCTCCAGTCGTACCTCCTCAGGTTCGGTATGACTGGACCCTCCTGGCACCCACCCCAGTCCCACCTTCTCAGAAGGTACGACTGGAGGTCTAGGGAGTATGTGTGGACCACAAATTTCTGCGTACCAGTTCTGCATGTCGAAAGCACCTTTTGTGTGACCCGACCTTCAACTTGATGTTGGCGACCCAAGATGAGAGTGTCAGTGTCAGTGCAATGCAGGAATTGCTGTGGTTCCAGTTTTGCTGCGATGCTGAGTTTCTTTTGGATGTCCCCCTTGCTACCGACAATCTGGGTGTGGTCGACTCCCAAATTTACTAATTTAGCATAATGAATTAACAAAAAAAGGTAAAGTGAGTCTTATATAAACTGGATCTCACTGACAAAACCTTGGCTCGGCCAAATTATAGTTTGAGCTTTTGATTACTTTTATTCGAACTGACTTTTTGTTTAACAGTTTTAACATAAAAATGACTTGAAAGACCGTTGGTTTGTTAACGTTTGTGAACGTCATGTTGGATAACCTATTTTGATACCTGCAACCTCGTGGTTTTTTTTGGGTTGGTAGTTCAACATACCAAGATATTTAGGTCACGGTTTGTGAACCACACATATAAACATCCGCTTCTGAAATAAACATCCGTTTAAAAAAAGAAAAAAACGTTCGGGGAAAAAAGAAAACGGTTGTAGCTCACTAATAAACGCCTTTAGCTTGCGTATAAACGCCCGTGGAATATCAGGAAAAATCAGAAAACTAGAGAAACATCCGCAGACTCAAATATAAGGCTGTGACTCGAAAAGATGCTTTTCACGCGGCAGAAAACGGAAAAAAAAAGAGCACTCTGAGGAAGTTCCACATATATAATGCATTGTGCGGACATCAATTCTCGGTAGCAGTGGGGATCTGAAAATCAATAACGAACGTGACATCTTTCATCCCCAGTAAGATCGCCAACATATTTTGCTTTGGTGAATGCATGATTGATGCCTGGTCCGACATTCGTGCGGCATCTGATTATATACAATAAAACCCGAAAGCATTCCCCCGCCAGGGAGTTGAGGCCTCTTGGTGGGATTGGAAGCCTGTCTTTAATCTTCGATGGAAGCATGAGGACCAAATGCACTGGAGTTGAGGGCGATCTTGCTTTCTTTAGTACACCATATCCGCCGCCGTGCCGCACTCAATGCGCAGGTGTTCCACGTCACAGATTCCTATGTTCAATGAGTGTAATCGGTGAGTTTTCTCAGCGTCTTGTGACTGGTATGCCTCTAAAGAGTCTCTTTTACTGTTCTTTCCTGCGCCCTTGTGCCAACACAGGGTAAGTTGGGGTCCGTGGAAAGTCTCCAACTGAAAGTCCAAGTGTTGTTTTGGCCAGAGTTTTTTCAACGTCCTTTCGCCCGCATGGCGATTTGAAGTGATTGGAACAGGTCTTTTGACTGAACCACTTCCTGCCGGGGAAAAATCATCCGAGTGAAGAAGTCAGCAGGAGACTGAACCACAAAGGCCGAGTTCTCCGTTTAGGCCGCTTAGGCTGACTCTTCAAGAGTTCAAAGGACAGCCAAAGGGCTTGCCAGCAGCAAGAGACGCATCGAACCACATAATGATGTTCAGAAGTTTCAATTCCAACCTTCCAGCTCACACGGTCAATGGAGGGAATATGTTTGAAATTGGCGCCGAACACTGCCGCAAGGAACGATCCCAATATTGTTGCCAGACTCCGGCTTTCGGATGGTCTTACCTCCCCAAACACGGACTGCCAGTCCGGACTGCCGCCGCAGGGCACGACCCCTTTTTACACCACTGATGGGCCGTCCGATGGCAGTCCCATGTCCAGGGTCGTGTCCGGGCTCCGTACTGGGTACTGACACTCAAAGCGACGTAACTTATTTTTTTAACGGGTAAAATGCCGGGAGCCGGCCAAAATAGCTTTTCTGGCGAGGGAATATAGGGGATTATAGGTGCTTTCCCCCCAAAAGCCCCTCCAAAACCGGTGGATTTCGTGCATGCTTGCCGGCGGCATCGACTGGCGCCTTCGACCTGGGCAGGTCTCGGTGTCCTCGAAATCCTCGAAATCCTCGGAGGTCTCGGAGGTGGAGCAAAGTTCTCTGGTGCCTTGGTCGCTGTGGCCGGGTGGCGCGGTCTTGGAGTTCCGGTTCGGCGCCCCGAGGGTCGACGGCACCTGAAGGTTGGGACGCTGAACACATGTGGTCGCGACTGGGGCTCTCAACAACAAAAGCATACAAAAACAACGAAGTGCAGCAGGCAACCCTCAGAGGGACGTGGTCGCCATAGCTAGATTCATGAAGTGCCATAGCTAGAAGCAGCAGAGCCATTTAGGAAGTGAAAACTGGACACACCGAACAGCCCCCTTGGGGACGTGTCAACTTTTCCAGCATTTCTAACGACGTGAGCTCCAAAGGTACCTGGATCCCTAGGGAAAGGGTTCGCTTTCTGCCCTAAGAATCCGGGACCTCAAACAGATATGGCTTTGATGGCCCGGACCCCTGCCATGGAGAGCCCAAGGATTCTGAGGGTGATATAGTTTGAACCTAAGAACCCTTGGACCCTAAGAACCCTTGGACCTTCCCGAGCTCGGAAGCTCGGCTTCGCTCCAAGGCCATGATCTCGAGATATCAGGTGGTCCAAGACCACAGCTACTCGTCCTGCATCGGTGGTCCGGTCTTCCGGTGAACCTCCGACCATGCCCGGGCTGCGTACGGGCTGCGTACGGGCGGCCCATTCCGGGCTGCGTACGGCCCAACACTCTTAAGTGGGTTGTGGTGGTTTTGGTACCCCACACTGCACCCTCGTGATCATTCTTCTCAAGGGGCTAAAGGCCATCCCGTTTCTTGGAAATGGTTCATCTACTGTAAAAGATCTAAAGAGGCCAATGACATCCAATGGCCATAGTTCAGCTACAACCAAAACCCCTCAAAATGGTTTCGTGGGGTACTTCAAGCATCCAGCAGATGGGATGTTTATACTTTGGCCGTAGCTCAGTTTGTTCCTTTTTGTTTGTACACCTTTAGACCGTTGTTTCAATAGCTTCGCATCTTCAGCCTCCAAACTCTACCCTTTTCCGCCCTGGCCCCGCCTCACTGGCCTTCGTCCGCACCGTCCACCGGCAGGTTTCGACGAGATCCAACTTCCCACGGCCACGGCCGAACAGATCCGGCTGTGTTGGCCCCTTCGGCGGAACGGCCGACGTCACCGGTGCTTTCGGTGCCGACGGGACGTGGTGTGGCGTGGCAGAGGGTGTCGAGGGAGTCCCATTTGGCCCAAGCTGATGGTGGACAATAGGTGTTCCCACCAAACTTTCATGAAACAATGATGATGTTCTACAGAACAACGAAGGGGAGTGAGAGAATATGGAGTCTGGAGCTCGGAGTTGGGTGCGTCTCATCCTTGGTTCTTCTCATCCGGTGGACCTTTGGCGCCAAGCAATTACAGGTGAACGGAGCTCGCAGCTGGACCTGGTGTTGGAACGATGAAACGAACACGACCAGGGGCCCGAACCAAACCATGGAAAAACCAAGGTTTTACCGGTGTTCACAGACCAAACACCCATGCTATAGCATGCTATAGGGGAAAAAAACACCTAGGTGTTCTGATGGTGTGTTTCAGCCCGTCTCACTCGTCTCACTCGTCTCCGGTCTGAAGTCGGACCAGGGTACGACTCACTCGACAGGTCTGGTCGACAGGTCTGGGTGTCCTTTGTCCCAGACGACGGGGCAGGGCACTGTGGATGTTGTGACGTTCGGGGCACCCCGAGTCCTGGACTTCCTCCGTTCGGAACCGGCACCCGGACGTGTGACGTGACTGCTGTGTGGATCTTGGGCTTCGGAAGGGAAACATGAGGAAAGTACCGGAGGAACGAAGGTTGATCGAGTCCGAGAAAAAGAAGAGGTGAAAGAAGAAAGAAGACCCAGAAAGCATTCAGAACGAGGCTGGTGGTTTCAGAGATGTTCCGAGGGGTCAACCTTTACCTTGCAGGGAAGAGTTCCCACCCGAAGACTCCGGGTCCATTTCCGCACCGCGGGTCAACCGGACCCGCCTTCGCTGGTCTGGAGCCCCTCCAACCCACCCTTCTCTCCCAGACACGACCCGTCTGGGACTGCCAGGACGGACTGCCGCCCCAGACAGACCCCAGGTCAACTACCCCTAGCCGTTTTGAAGGCAGTCCGGACTGGCAGTCCCAGACGGGTCGTGTATGGGTCTTAAAGGTTCTTCTCTGCCCGGGAGCCGGGGGTGACGATGATGTCGATGTCGCCGACCAGCAAGGGGGGTTCTTCCGCGCTGTTTCGTCAGCGCACCGACCCTGGGACTCCAGTGATTGCTTCTAAATAGGAAAAGTTCAAGCGGGGGATGCCGCGCCCAGTTTCTGTGTTCAAGAAACCCTTTGCAAGAAAAAAAATGGAAGAAGCCTTCGACCCGGACCCGTCACCTGGGGGTTACCGATCAGTTCCCCATTTCCGCCGATGCGCCCAGGGCCGCCTTTTTCGCCAAGATGCCCAGCCGCGAAGCGGCCGGCGAGGCGATCTACGCCGCTCCACCGGTGGGGGCGAGGCGAAGGGTGTGGAAGGTGTGTGGGGGGTGGAAGTGCCCTGAACGAATGAAAACGACAGGTGTGGTGTGGTGTTTCCACGAGTGCGGACGCCATGTGGGCGGGGTGCCCAGGTCATAACAGGTGTGGTGTGGTGTGGTGGGGATCTTCGGATCGGTGCTTGTTGTTCAACCAACCAGCCCAGGCATGGATTTGGGCTTTGGACCCGGAAGAACCATTGTTTGACGGATGTTTGCAGTACAACACCAGGTCCACCATGTATGTTTGTAGCGGAGGCCTAAGGATTGAAAGACGGTTCTAAAGAAAGGTGAACTCTCTACCAGCAGTCACATGTCGGGGTGCTATCCATAGAGGTTAGGGGTGCTATCCATGGAGGTTAGGGGTGCCCAGCTACTCCACTCACTTAGGAACTGGGATTCTATAAGGGATGTTCCTATGGTAAACTCTCAAGCAGATCCATCGCTTGTGAAGTACTTTGCTTTTGCGTGACACAGTTTGATATCCTGGTTGGTCACAAATGGTTGTTTTTGGTGCATGTTTGAGGACTCACATAGCCTGAAAACCCAAACAACCAGAAATTCACGGATGTTCCAATATGGCAATTGAGATCTATCGGATCCCTTGTTGAAAAAAGAGAACATACCTGAAGAATTTTTTGTCTCCGTTTTTTGTGTGGGGACGGAGGCCAATCCGTTTGGACGGGAGCCTGTGCCCGGAGAACGTGAGAGTGCATTGGAACCGAAAGCGAAGGCCCCATGGATCACCTTTTGTCACTAAGCAAACTGTGGAAGGGAAGGATGTTGGAGAAGGACTACCTCATTGCCATGAAGTCAGGTTTCATGTGTGCAAACTGCACCATGTGTCCCTTCTCCGAGCTGGGCATAAATAAGCATGCACAGACGCGCAGCGTACAGAAACGCGCAGCTCCATCGCATGTCCGCCACGCGTGGCAACTGAGGATGTTCTTATGGAAGAAGCCCCAGGTGCCTTCGTCGGTTCGGTGCCAAATGCAACGAGTCCGGCATGTGGGAACGGCGTCAGCACCGGTGCACAGGTGCAAACGGTATACGCACAGGAGTCACTTAAGGCTTGATTTCAGACTAAAAGAGTGGGAACGACATGGTGTAAAATCATGTAAGATCCCTCAAGAATGGGTTCCAGCAGTAACCAAGGGGTGCCCAGAACATCCACTCACGTAAAAATGGGACGAACAAAGCCACCCAACTCCATGTGACTCTTGGTTGTTTGGATTTCAGACTCTAAGAATTCCCTAGGGATCCAAGTACCTTCTCAGGTACGGTGATTGGAGACACTGTTATGTCGGTGCCAGGAGGGTCCAAGTACCTTCTGAGAAGGTGGCAGTGGATCCCTAGGGTTAGAATTGGTTCTTTGGGCCAGGAATCCAAGTCATGGGCACAACAGATGACCCGCTGCAGCACCGAATCGCTCCACGTGGCCGACGGTCATGGCACCCCGTCCAGCCCGTCCATGGGACTGGACTACATGGCACCCCAGACAGACCCCCTTCAAAGCAACCAAATGTAGGCAGATATGGCAGTCTCAGACAGGTCGTGTTTGAGGTATTGTTATGATACATTATACCCTCCTGGCCAGGCTGTTTGGAGACCTTAACAGGTGGTAACAGGGCGCACCGGACTTGTCACCAGGAAGCACCTGTGAAGTCGGGTGCTGGTATAGTTAACGATTCCAAGTCACGGACCTCCGTCCTTCTGCTCCCTCACCGACCCGCCTACGAGGCGTCGCAGCGCTCTTTAAGTCCGCTCGCTCGGTCTTCGGCCTCCGCTTCATCGAGGGCTTAAACAGCCGCGATCTGAGACCGCGAGAAGAGGGGATGGGATGGAAGAGGATGGGCGAAGACTGGACCTGCGGGTTTTGGTACGGTGACAGAGCGGTTTGTAGCCGTGATTCCTTGGGGTGTTGACATGGGTTGCTCCACTGAACATCAACAGGTGGTATATCACCTATATCTTCACAGGAAACTGAGGGTGTCAGAAGGAGAGAGCGGCAGTGGCGGCAGGTTTTCAGGGTGCGAGTGGGCTGGTGGGGCTGGAAGTGGGTCCGCATCCCAGGGTGAGCAGTTGGATCAGTTTGATGATGTGGCCTTTTTGTGCGGCAAAAAAATGGCCTTCTCGAATCCAAAAAGGTCCGACTCTTTGACCAGTGGCATCAGTTGGATTGTGTGCGCGGATTGGAGGGAGACCGAACAAATATGGACATTCTCACTCTTCCGTCCGGGTGTGGAAAGACGAAACGCGTCCATGGCGCTTCGTCGAAGGAAGGGAGGGAATTGGTGTCGTTCTGTTGACACATTCGCCACCCCAAAAAGACCAGTTGCAGAATCTGGAACAGGGAGACCCCCCAGGCAGGACCTGCTGCAAGAAGGAACATAGACCTGTCTACCCTCCGACTTGTTACTTACATTAGGCTCACAACTGGGGGGAGCCATGTGAGCGAGCGCGCAGAACTATCCCGTGCACCATCGCGACCACATGGATGGGTCATTTTCATGGAGCACATAGGACTGGAACGATTCCAGTCCACATCGTCCTGTCTGGGATGAATTGGTTGATGTCAGCTCGTTGCTCCTTAGGCCTGGTCGTGGAGATCAACGAGCCAGCCGCTCTCAAGAAGCAGGCGCGGTCTGTGATGTGCGGATGTGCCCGTGGAGGTGGCTGATTTTTGGTACGACCAGACGAATGGGACTGGAATAGTTGCCTAGATTGGGGTCATTTTCATGGGGCTTTCATCTATGTAGGTATTCCAGTCCCTTGGATGGTCTGGGACCTATATATGGTGTACCTGGACCTTCCTAAGACAAGGGAGAACGTTTCATCCATTGAGAGCGAAGTGGGTGTTTCTTACTTTGATATGATGCCTTCTTACAAGTGCTTGATATGATTGATGAAGCGTATCAAATAGCGCCTTATCCACTTTTAGTTTGGTTCTTCTTATTTATGAAATAGTGCCTTTGTGTTTTTGGATGGTCCGCCGGGTATGGCCCTTTTCCAACATCAGGTGATGGTGCTGATCTGGGGAGTCTGATTTCAGAACGTCTCAGTCTGCCAAGTCCAGTTCTGGATCACCGATTGTTGGGACCCCTTCCTACCCATGAAAAAATATGTAAAAGTCGATAGCCCAGGCCCAGGGGTCACAAAGGAGTGGTCTTGAGTCCAGTGAGTGGAGTAGCTGGACACCCCGATCCTCCAATAGGTACCCCGTCTTGTGACTCCTGAGCCTTTAGCCTTTTTGGGGGGATTGGGAATGCTGATCATGATCCTCTGTCCACACACCACCCAAGCTGGATAGCTACGTACGCACAGCTACCAGGCATGGGGGGTACGCACAGCTAGAGCCACCGACTCTCAAGGGTTACAACTGAGAAAACACGCAGGGGACACTCCACTAAAACCAACAGGTGCAAAAAGCTTTATAATTATTTTCCACTGAGGCAATAGAAAAGCCGAGACTGGCAACAGCGAAATGTTGAGGAGAGAGGTAGGTAGAGTTAAATGAAAATATGACACTGCAAACAAGAGGAACGAGAGCTCTTAGGCATGGCCTCCACCCTAATAGCATATGACAGTGAAAGAGCTGAACAAGAGGAACAAGAGTTTAATGGTCAACAAACAAGCGAAAAAGTGCTGCTGCTTGAGCGGGGGTGGCAAATGTATTCTGCTCAGATTCTGTTGGAATAGACCCTCAGGAAAAGGTTTCTGTTGCAATAGTTCAATAGACGTTCAAAAAAGATGCAAGTGGAGATAAAAAGGTCTAAAGGCTATGTCGCCCCAAAAGGTGCCAAACAAAAAAGGATGTGAAACAATGTGATAACATGATGCAGAACCACAATTAAACAAACAATACGTCCACCACGGGATTGGGCTAATGTTTATCTCAAGCATTGTTTTGTTGTGTAATTATGTTTTTGGTATCCTTTCCCAATCTCTTTGGGCCTGGTAGCCTCATGGAAGCCTCAGGACCTTGGCGTGTTTGCTGCAATGCTCTGAAAAGTTGTTGATACAATTGAGTCAATGGAGGTGTTTGAAGATTTTGAAGCAACATTGTTGAAACAACACAAGGTTTAAGTTTTTTGCTCAATGTTTTGAAGACTGTTTGTATCTCCCGTTCTAGCGCGCGCACACATTCTGAAAAAGATCCCCGTCTCCATGGGCAGGTGGGAAGAACCCCTCAGCCACATCTCTGGCCCGCCCAAAAGACCGCGAGCCTCTATTCTTCAGCCCGTTCCTGGCAACGGAACAAAGGGGAGGTAAAGGAGGCACGGACGATCTCGATCGAAGTCCTCGATCGATCTCCTCTGGCCAGGTCGAGACCCTGGGATATCAGCACTTGGATTACGACGTGACCACCGCCCGTGTGGAGCTCGTTGGACGGCCCAGAGAGGAAGATTTCGGTGGGGGCCCGGCCTGTGGCGCCTGGAGGCTTTGCCGGCACACCCGACAGGACGATATCTTAAATCAAATAGATTGATAATTCCGAGCATTTGATTTACTACACATCCACAGACCATCAAATTGACCCTTAGGTCTTTTGGTCCTTCGGTCGACCTAGCTCTAGCTGGTTGTGATAGGTCGTCGACATAGCTAGTAGCTCGGTCTTGTTGTTGTTTGATTGGTCGATTTTTATTGTACCCTACCTACAAGTCCAGTCTAACCCGGTAAAACCCGGTTCTTTACCTCATTGAGTAGTGTTTTTGTATGACCGACTCCAGTAAAATGAGGTCAAACTGACCTGATTGGCGTGTGTGGCATTGACACAATCTGCAGTATGGTTCAGATTTTGTTGGAAGGCTAACTAGGAGCATGTGGAAGAAGAAAGTCAATCGTTTTGCTTCTGAGGAAGCTGAAGGGGATCAGAGGTTGTACTGTATCAGGGAGTGTTTGAGTTCGGCTGGCCTTCAACCATCACTCATGGGCACTCAGTGCAGACTGATGCACTCTGATGCAGCCTTATTCGGTAACAAGCCCGCTTTTCCATGCTTTTCAAAGCATGTACCAGCCAATACCAGCCAAAAAAGGAAAAAAGGATGGTCCCGACCAAAACAGATCCGGTTCCCAGTCCAGGCGATGTCTTTTTCTTCGAACCTTCCTTACAGGGCTCCTGTCCCACCTCCGAAGTCGGCTCGGTGGGTTTTGGGGATGGGTGGATTTGGGGGGGGTCAGTCCCCAGCGGTCACCTGAGGAGGAGATGGCAATGGGCCGTTCGGAACCCTGTCACCGGGAACTCTGCCGTGAACTCCCCAGAGGTCGGTCGACATCCGCGGCATCCGCCGACCCTCCAGAAATCCATCAAGGATGCGACACGGAGTCTAACTCCACCTTAACCTCCTTGTTTTGGGATGATTTAGTTCCTTTTCAACGGGGTAAATTTCCAGGAAGGGGAGATAGATGTCAGATGTTCATGAATTCGTGTGTTACATTATGTCTTTGGTCTCCGGTTCCTTAAGCAACTCCAAAGTTCTTTCGATGGAACTGGCGGCCCCACTCTGTCCACCTCCCGCTTGACTGCTCCCAGGTCCGGGATGGGATCCTGCAGGTCATGGAGCAGGCGCCGATGGGACGGCGGGACACCCGGGCCGGGACCCTGCGGGCACGGCCGGGCACCCTGCGGGCACGCGTATTGCTCAGAAAGGGTCGCGGTGGTGAAATGAGCTCAGGAGACTGGGTTTGGGGCCGAAGCCATTTGTAGCAGTTGGTTCGGGTCCAGCCATCAGCCTCTGGAGCCAAAAAGAGATGATTCGATATGATTCGGACCACCAGCCAGCTCTCAAGAGAGTTGTTGTTTTCAGATGTCTTTTTGATCGCTTTGGGAATCTTAACATGAAGCTGCAGGTCTATCATTGAATCAATGGCACTCCCTATAGCTCAGAAGGTCTGTATCCCTAGGGAATCACGGCTTCAAGGCTGAGCCGAAGCCACCGTCAGGCCGTGTTTAGGGATGTGCCCCAGATGCCGCAACAATGGGCGTGTCACACCTCGTTTGTCCTGTTTGGATGTCTCGTTTGCAGTGGGCTGGGTACCAGGACACCCTGACACCCAAACAGGATGGTCCTGGCAACTATTCCAGTCCCATGGATTGTGACACCTCAGCGTCTGAGACTCTCCAACACCCCACAGTGGCCGACAAAACCCAAAGCGTGCCGCCAGCGTCTGAGCGAAATCGAAGACTTGGAAGTGGAAGACTCCCCACTATAAGTCCAAGGGAGCTATTGTCTTCCAAACATCCTGAATCATATCTGATGTGATTCAGCACCCAGACACTCCATGTATGGTATATATGTCTATACCCCTGGAACGAACCACCCCTGGCCGTTTCTTGACAGTCCGGACTGGCAGTCCCAGACGGGTCGTGTTTGGGGTATGTTTGGAAGACAATAGCTCCAGATCTGAGACTCCGTTGCTGGTTCTGATCTGAGACTCCGGTGGTGGTTCATCTGGACCGGTCTCTCTCGCCGGTCGAGGTCGGGAAGGTCGTGCGTGGGGTGAGTTCCTCTCTGATGTACAGAGAGACTGACCTAGCTAGACTCAATTCATACAACAAACACCTGGTTCTTCAAAGTGACCGAACTTGATATCCCTGTTTGAGGTCACTTTGGCCTGTAAAGGGTCACTTAGGCACTCCAAAGAGGTCACTTTGAAGAAGCTGGCAAACATTGGTTTGACCTTCAGATATGATGTGGTTTGACCATCCAATGTTGTTCCGGTGAGAGATTCCCGCAGAGCCAGCTTGTGTATTGTGTAAGCAAAGGCGCAATCATGGCGAAAGCACAGTACTGCAGCCCGCGCGACAAAAGCTGCAAGCTCCGCAGCATGGCCACGTGGCGAGCCCTGGAAATGGTGAAGAGTACTCCATGGCAATCGGTTCGCTCCTGTGGCAATCTGTTGCTCCTGTCCTCCTCATGTTCTTCTGTTGCCTTCTTGTTGTCCTTCTTCAGCTGTTCATTGGCCGCGACAGGCACTTCTCCCATCTCCCGTGTACTCATCCTGCCGTCGTCTGATCTTCTCTTCCTCGTTCTCCTCTTGGAGTGCTCCCCTCACGTTGTCCTGTTGTCCTTTTAGCGTTGTCCGGTCAATATCAAAAATCTCAGTGCCCATCAAGAACCCAAAGGACCCTCAAACCTGCATCATGCCAGTCCATGAGATTCTTGACCCTCATGAGCTTCTACACCACCTATTTACCAAAACTGGTATTGATATTCCTGCCCAAGATTTGCAAGGATGCTGGAACCACGTGCGAAATGTATCACCTGAAGCCTGCTACATTGCCAATGGAGCCTCCACCCGGCACATACCCATTGCGCTGTACGGCGGCTCTGCCAAACTCAGTAACACCGCGGGCAAGCTATTTGCAATATACTCGACGCTCCCTCTATGGAGGCCGCGATCCGCACGGTACGCACGTTGGTACCTGTATGCGGTTGAAGAGGGTAAATTCCACAAGCACTTGGACCATGCACAGGGTGTTCCGAAGGCTTACTTGGAGCCTTGGCCTCGCCTTTTCTGGCTATGGTGGCCGGTCATTTGCAATAACGGAACTGAAAGGCGACTGGCTTTTTCACAACGTCTTTTTTCTGATTTTACAGTTCATGGAAGAGACTGGACAGTGTTTGCTTTCGATGCTCCACGAGTTGCCGCCCTCACAAGCTCTTCTGGGCTTGAATTGGAATAATATTTTCCACATGAAATGACAATGAGTGGAGTGCAGCTCACAGTCGCTGTCATTTAAGTGATGAGGTAAGAGCACAGTTGAAAGAGCTGCCAAAAGGAAAAGGAAAGGCAAGTCGCTGTCATTTCCGTTTGAAGAGTACTTCCGACCTGAACGCATCATCTCCCGAGCCGCTTCCCTCGCATCACTTCCCGAGCGTCCTGTCCTGTCCGCATCGTTGGCAAGGAGTAGTGGCGCAAGAAGAACGCCGGCAGGGGCAAGGAGGCATACTTCTGGGCCAAGGCTGAGTGCGGTCTTACCCTCCCCTCGGAGGTGGTGACCAAGAAGGGAGCCACCAAGGGAGGCTATATGTGCAAGTATTGCCAGGGCTTGTGGAAGGCGGGCAGAGGAGGCTCCAGATTCGTCCAGATCACTGGCGGACCCAGCAACATCTGCAACAGACGAGAAGATGGAGCGGAGGCTTCAGGGATTGGAGAGGCAAGACCAAGAAGTCCAGAAATCTGGCTTCTGCTCAGCCATTTGCTTTTCAGCTGCAGGCTCAGCCTTTGGCTGGTCAGGCTTTGCTTCAAGCCTTTCTACTGGAGGCTTTGTTTGATCCTGTGTCTGTTGGGGTGCAGTTGATTGCCTTTGCGTGCTTTCCTCATATGCATCATGGCTTTCTTGCAAGCCACTGGAACTGGAGGTGGAGCCAGCTGATTGCTTTTGCTTCCTTTCATCATATGCCTCCTGCGGTCATGTTGTTGGAATTCTGCCAAACAAGCCTGTCACTGCCACGCGAGATGAGTGCTGTTGGTGTTCCACCTTGTTTGTCAGTGCTTGCATTTCAAGGAGCCAAAAAGCACAAGCGATTCAAATAGCCTGGGCAGTTTTCCCAAATCAGCCTCTTAGTAGTATATGCGGTATATGTGTTGTTCAATGATTTTGTGAGTCAAGCTGAGTTTGCTCGGGCTGTTTGTCAGAGACTCCTCAATGACAAGATCCACAGTCCCAGAGTCTCCCATGGTGGGTGTGGCAGCGATGGACGCAGCACTTTGTGGACCTTGAAGTGTAGATTTCGTGCGAACCTTAAAGTGCAAAGGGAGGCGCAGCAAATGTGCTCTCATATGTGTGCACTCATGGGCGTGTGCTTTTACATGTCCTTTCATACTTGTGCTCCCTAAACCTCCACCCTTAGATCTCCACCACCACCACCACCATCACCGCGATCACCACCTTCGTCTGGAGCCCAACGCGTCTAGATCTCCCGGCCTTTTGCTTAGACCTTTAGACACACTGTTTGGGTTTTTGCCAGGATAACCTTAAAGAATCAACCGTCAGTCCCAATTCGGCTCTTCCCCTCAAACTCCTGGTTCAACTCCGCTGCCCCTCCGTGTGGAGAACAAGAACACACCGTCAGCACCTGGTTCGAAGGAAAGCGCCCACCGTCGACAGCGTTCGAGCGTTCGGTCTGACATCGAACGGCAGGAGATGGGAGCGCAATTTACCAGTTTCTACCGTGACTCCTTCTCCGCTCTCCTGAACTACGTGGGAGGACCGAGCGAGCCCGCGACGACGCGACGACGCGAGACCGGGCCGTAGGACCCGTACCCGGAACCCGCACCGAAGTTCGATGCTTCGGGACCGGTCGTGACAGGGGGAGACCGGTTGTGACATGTAGAGACGCCGTTTTCGTTCACAACCCAGAAGCAACTCCTGGTCCCTGGGAAGTTGCTTCAGGTTCACGAAAAACCCCTGAAAAACACGATGGGACTGGAAGAGTTATAGACCTACATTGGGGTCATTTCATTCGGGTTTCATGTGCAACATTATGTAACTATTCCAGTCCCATGGATGGTCTGGGGTGGATCACCTGCAGGTTGACCAAACGTCCGTGTGTCCACATGCGTGTCGATGCTCCATGGTGGCGCATTTCCATGGCCTACATGACACGGTGGTCTTGCGTGGCTTTCAGACATAGAAATGCGCCATGGAGGTGTCCCATCGGAGAAACGGCTCAAGGGAGTCAGATTCCCCATTGAAATGGGTGGATCCTTTTTGACATATGGTGTTTTCGTTCCAGAAACACCTGCAAGACCACCTGCCGGCCCTAGAACTTGGTCGGAAGCGGCGAGTGGACGCAGGAGCCTTCATGTACATTAAGAGAGAGCTGGCTGGCCACATCAAGATCATCCAAAGGACATGCAGTGAGTGTGCGACATGCGACTAAGGAGGAAACTGGACCCTATCCCAAACACTCCATGTGTGTGAATTAATTTATAGAAAGTCCCTGAACAACAAGACCATCTTGGAAGCTTAACATATGCCCACATTGACCCCAGAAAGCACCCGAATCTATGCAAAAACGGGAGACATGGAGTGTTTGGGTATGGGATTGTCCGATCTTGGACCCTTTGATGTTTTACAAAAGTGGCCAGTTCTCCTATGGTATAGTGCCTATAGATGCATTGATATAACCTTGAAAAGAGTTTCGGTTGACCTGATTGTTGTAGCTGAAAATCCGTAGTTTAAGCCATGGTTCTTCAGGTAAAATGAACTCTAAAATCAGGGTGTTGAATCCTATGGGTAGACGGTCGATTTGGCCTTGGGGTTCATCTAGGTGTTCCCCTTCCCCTGTTGAAGAGAAAGAGTCAGACGACTTCCCCACGATGCCGAAATGGATCCGGAACCGGATCCGGGACTCGATGTGCGGCGGGACTGATGGAAAGCACTCCCAGGCACGACGAATGGGACTGCTATATGTCTACATTGACCCCCAGAACAACCCCTGGCCTGATCGGCATATATACCATGCAGTCCCATTAGTCGTGTCTGGGACTGATAGTTTACGGCTCGGCCGGGCCCAGCCTGGGAGGAATTGGGGTGTCCCTGCAGCGGAAGTATCATGAAGCCCCTTCCTACCTGGAAGTCCGTCGATCGGCTTGCCACCTATGCCATCCCACACACTCCAGGTCCATACTCCATGCTCAGAGGCTGAGGAGGTTCTTCCTCACTTCGCGTGGGGGGTGTTGGAACGAAACATCTCGAGGTGACGTGATGTGACGTGGAACGGATCTCGGCGAGTCTTCGACCAGTTTTGTCCGCAGTTGGTAGCAGTTGGTCCAGGTCCGCCTCTGGGTGTAACAAATATGGTATATCTAGGGTGTAGCCCATTATCAGTGTGTAGTTGGTAAAGAAATATCACGGTTTTTAAGAAAGGCCTTTACTACCATCATCATCCACTGTTACTGGTAATGGGATACACCCAAGGTATATCTCAAGGTATATCCCATTGGACTACGAAGCAACGGCTCCAGCAAGGTCCGGTCAACTGCTCCCACCCGCCCCCCGCCCATGTGGCTATATGGACCGGTCATACCCACGACCGACACCCTCTGAGGTGTCGTTCATAGCGTCAAAGAGGGGTTACTTCGGAGTGTCCCAAAAACCTCCGGACGAAGGGACCTGGTTTAGTGTCAAAGACTTGGTCCAACAAGACCGAGACACTCTGCGCATCGCACCCAAAGGTTTCAGAAAGGACCCGTGACCCCTTGTTGGCGCTCCAGGTGAAATGACCCGAAAACACCGACATAAAAGGGTGAAATGGACCGAAGACAAACATGTAGCAGTTGGGTTGGGTCCTTCCGGTCGCCCCGGAACTGGGCAGTTCCGGTCGCGTCGGAGCTTCGCGCTCGTCGTTCGGGTTGATCTCTCGCTGATCGATCGATCACTCTCCTATGGACGTTTTCTGAGATTTAAGAGGTTCAATCCCGCAGTGTCATGTGTTAAAAGAATGGATTTCACAACCGAACCCACGCTGTCATCGTTCCCGAACTCTTTTTGATGGTCTGCTGGGTGCGAGGGCGGTCGGCGTTGCACCGGAGACGGCGAGGAGTTGGCGTTTGGCTCGGAAGGTGATGGAAGAAGAAGCTGTCCACCAGACTCTTTGGTGAAAGTCATGGGAGGGTGTTTGGAGGGGAGAAATCATGAAAAGTATCATGAAACATCATTAAAAGCATCACAAGAAGCTGCTAATTGGATAGGAGGCCATCGCTAGTATAGGAACAAAGAGCTACGATAGCCTTAGCTCACTGGCAGCTACGACAGCCTGCACGACCTTTCAGGACCTTCCGGGACCTTTGTGGCCTAACTTGGGGTCGGTCGACCCCTTGTGGACCCCTTGTGGGCCGATCTGTTTGTGGGAAGAAGGTGTTGGACCTCCAATCCATTCAGTGTCTTGGAATATATCAGGTACCTGGACCGAAACTCAAGTCCAGTGGGTTTTAGACACCTCCAAATTACCTCAAATCGGAGCTATGTAGATCGGCACCCGGTACCGTGTTCGGCACCTGGGCCACGGTACCAAAGGGCTCCGAATCACGACTCCAGCGATAGCGTACCGGGCGTACTGGGCGTCCATCCATGGGACCCCGAAAAGGGGCGGTGCTGGTGGAGTTCGTCACCAATTGGGAAGAGATTCGATTCGAAGACTAACATGGACCCTGAAAACCACTGGAAGGTAGAGGGGAACCATCTATGGTAGAGGGGTCATTGTCAGGGTCGACCATGTTAGTTTTCAGGAGTGTAGATTCCTAGACCGCCTAGACCAGGATCCGACGATAAACAGGCCTCCGAAATCGTGGCTGAAATGCAGGCTTAAGCATCGCAGGTGGTTGACCTCTTGGAGGGTCCTGGTACAGACCAGTGCTGGTAGCCATATCTCTCAGTTGTGACACAAGTGTTTTTTCCCCAGACGCGAAGTCTGGACCCTCCTAAGTATAGCCATATATGGCATACATGGAGTATTTGGGTATTCCAGTTTACATGGAGTGTTTTGGTCGCATGGTGTTCGGCTGAGGCAAGAAGAGCCAGATTCTCCCCTCTCTGTGCCGCAGGCCGCGTTGAGCGGGTCTTGAGCGGTGTCCGTGCCTCTTTGGCACGTGTTCGGCGAGATCAGTTGCGGTGAGAAACCTCGGGTACCCAACTGGGATAGTCGAACCAGCGTTCTTCAACCTCTGGAACGACGCGGAGGTGTTTTTGTTGGTCTTGGGAGATCGGAACGAAAACGAGCAAGATGAAACCAAACAGGTCATTCACTCGTTGAGCCGAGCCAAGTTCAGTTGAGCCGAAGACCGTGACGTGAAGACGGTGACGGTTGTTTTTATGGTTCTTCGGAAGCACGGAACCGTACCCATACCCAGACGGTCCATGGGACTGCTATATATGCCGACATTGACCCCCCAAACCACCCCAATGTAGGCATATATAGCATACATGGAGTGTCTGGGATACACTCCATGGGACTGGGATAGGACTGCCCCAGACAGACCCCCTGCTGGCACCCACCACCCCTGGCCACCGTTTCGACGGGTCGCGTCGCGTCGACGGGTCGCGCCAGTCCGAAACCACCGGACCGATCCGTCTTCTGGGGCACCTCTCCGGAGCGGAGCCGTCGAGAAGAAACGACGGCCGCGGCGCCGTCGGAACGGCCTCGACGCGGAGCGACTCCCTCGTGGTCCACGGGGGGCGACCGCGCGCGCGCGCGGCGCGCGCGAGGCCCGCGGCGCGTGCCTGGGCAGGTGCCGTCGGCGCCGTCGGAGGCGGCCACAGATGAGAAGGTGAAGGCGAAGGAGGCCAAGGAAGAGACACCTGCCTGCCTAGCTGGGTAGGGGGTGTTGCTGTGGAAGTGGCCCAGAAATCGTGCTGGTGGGGGAAGTGCTGTTGCTGGTGGGCAAGGGTCGCGTCTGACGGCGTGGGAAGTTGAGGGTTGGCGGGGTTGGCTCATTTCGTTTCGCCTGGGACTGTATACCGGACAAGACCTAACTTGATTGGGGTGGTTGGTGGTCCAAAATAGGGGTCACTACAGGTTTGGGGTTCCAAGTGATTGTTCCACCATGTTCCACCCATTTGTGTTCAATGGTTCTTTGTAAAACCAATGTTCCACCTCCTACTCCTGATAGGTGATATGTCCTGATTGTGCTTGCGGTTGGCCGGGTCTTTTTCCGGGGTACCAGCTTCGTCCAAGTCTTCGCCAGCAAGTTGGCAAGTTGGATGTTTTGAAAGATCACTATAATAGATTCCAACCACATCCTCAGAAGCTACTAGACGTTTCGTGGCACCCGCTCCCACCACCGAAATGGAGGTCGTTGTGTCGCCACCATCTTGAGTGGAATGCATCTAGATCGCACTAAGGACCGAGGAGGAGAAGGGCGCCAAGGATAAAAATAGCTTGCAGGCCAGGCCCAACCGCCCACTTCGATCCTTCCACGCATCGATCGGACTCTCCGCTTCGGAAGAGCGGAGCGTCGTGGCTTGCCGTCAGTGCGCTTTTCGGTGGCGGAACCGCAAAGCACCGGTCACTGAGTCACGACGAGTCACGAAACACGGCCGGCCAAGGCCTGGCGATCTTGGTTGAGGTGGTCAAATTGGACCGGAACAGGACAGGAGGACAGATCATACGCTAGGGATCCAGTCGTACCTTCTCAGAAGGTGATTGAAGACTAAGGCTTGGAGGGCCCAAGTACCTTCTGAGAAGGTATGTGGATCCCTACACCCAAAAGAAGAAGGCCGATGAAAAGCGTGGTGGCCATGAAGAGGAACCAAAACGGGGCTTGAAGACGGCATGTTGAGGTTGTTTTGGGCTTTTTCGACGCTGTAGAACATAGCACAAAATGATTTGGATGTTTGGATGTCTATTTTGTTTGCCAGACTGGGTGCATCCGTTCTGAGGAACATGTTTCTTGCGTATATGATTTTGCTTCCATCAAATCCAAGCTAAGAAACCACGCAGTGCCGTGCCTGCGCCCGCCCGCTGCGGTGCCTGCGCCGGTGGCGCCAGGTCCCGACGAGTTTCGAGGGCATGTTCCTTTTCAATGCCGCCGTCATGGGCCGTTTGGCACGGGGAAGGAGGGTGTCCCGTGGAGGCGTCACCATCCCAGGAACGTGCTGGTTTAAAGCCAATGGGTACTAGAAAGTCTGCCGTATACATTTGATTTACTTGTACTAATCTATCTCTAAATGATGTCCTGTTCATAAATTGAATTGTTTGTTTCCATATATCCCAGACACGACAAATAGGGACTGGCATAGGACTGCCGTGCCAGACAGACCCCTGTAATCAACCACCCCTGGCCTGATCGGCACTCCTATGGCAGTCCCCTGCAGGCCCTGGTCATATCTCCATGTATTCCATACCTGCACCCGACTTCACAGGTCACCACCTGCCTCTTTTAAGTCTCCATTTCAGCCACCAGTTCGGAGACCTGTTGGAGGTGCTGGTACATGGAGTGTTTGGGTTAGACTGGTATAGGGCCAGTCACAGGATAGGGCCAGTCGCCGAGTCGCCGCACGCCATTTCCATCCCAACTTTAGGGCGTTCCGCGGGGTGGGAGGGAAGATCTGCCTGGGCCCGACTGATCGTAGTCCTAAAAATAAATTTATACAGAGTTGTGGTCGTTTTTGGTTTGGGTCATGTCATGTGGCCTTTTCTAGGGTACTTGTGTGTTTGCCTCATGTTGCAAAAGAAATGTCAGGGGCTGAAGTGAATGATGAACAATGTCAAACATCAGATGCGACAGAAATCTGGTGGATGGCTAAAAGTCATGCTGCAAGTGTCACCGACTGCTACGAGATTTGGTGATATTGATTGAATCAGAACCCAAGCACTCCATGCATCTATGGCACCCAAACGCTCCATGATGGCGCAAATATGGCCTACATTCACCACTACATTCACCATTCAAAGTAGACCATATTCGCATGCAAGGAGCATTCGTAGGGGGTATACCTATCCCATACACTCCATGTATGCCGCCCCATTGATCCCGCAGAACACCCCAACCATACATGGAGCGTCTAGGTATGTTGATCCAACTGATCGGAGGAGGGCGGGCAGTCCCATCAACCACCGTCGCGTCGGTGGCCGACCCGCCCTGCCGGCCTATCCCACCATCAACCACCAGAAAGACCAGTCAAAAGCGCACGCACACCGTAAGTCGAGAGTCTTAAGGTGACCTATACCAGACACTCCATGGGACTGGCATATCTGCCTACATTGTCCCCGGGTATACCCAGCTGTGAAAAGTGGATCACCTCCGAGCTTGAGCCAGTAGCTGGTTCAGTGACGACTCGTCCCAGTGGCTGGTTCGGTCACAAACCAGAGACTTGAAAGAGGTCACGCACTGTTTCGGTCTCGGTCAAAACCCCTTCTCAAACCCTATAGCCCATACACTCCATGGGACTGCCATATATGCCGCCCCATTGACCCCCCTGGCACCACCCCCACTGATCGGCAGTCCCATGGGTCGCGTTTGGGTAGGCAGGGATCCGTTTTCGTACCTTCTCAGGTTCAATACGAACTGTTGGACCTCACAAAGCTGTCGAACACATCACCTGAGACGGCACGAGACCGGACGCCCCACACACACGACACGTCTGGGACTGCCAGTGACTGCCGACAGACGCCCAGACGCCCTGTTCAACAGACGCCATGTCCAGGTCGTGTGGGTATGGGTGAAAGTCCGGCCGCTGGGACCATCGGTGAACCACTGGTGGAGAACGTAGCACAGGACGTAGTCGTGGAGCGAAGGCTGGGGAGAACGTCGGACGTCGTCGTCGATGAGGTTATGGCGAGTCCTCCTGGATGAAGATCGTCTTGGACCACTTGGACGCCATCGCAGCGACTGGGATGTCAGAAACCAGTGGATTCAGTATTGTCATTGCTTGCTAGATTTGCCAACTACTTTTAAGTAGATATATAGTCATACAGTCAGGTCAGCCTGCCATAGGCTGCCTATCTAGTTGCTCTACCTGTCAGCATCAGCGGAGACTGGGGAGACGGCATTGTGGAGACTCAATGGGTCTGGTCTGAAGTGTTTTAGGCTCGCTTCCAGAGAGAGCCTCCGTGGCTCACCCGCCCTGTACACCGGACAGGTCGCAGGGTCGCACATCCAAAACCCTCGTCGGGCCGAGAGCGGTTTCGTCGACCGTCGTGGTGGTGTTTCCTTTGAACCGATGGGGAAAAACATCCGGGGAGCTGTACTGTGCTGTACTGGTCTTCACCATGTTACTTGAGTCATGCTCTTAAAGACAATTTGAAGTCACAAAGTAAGAGACAGAGAGAGAGAGAGAGAGAGAGATTGTGGAATAGAAGCCTTTAGATGTGTTTTGTTGTGAAAAAGACTGTTGGCTGTGCAATGCATATGGTTGCATCATTGTAGATAAGTGACCATTTGGAGTTCATGAAGAGCATTGATGTGATGAAAACCTAAATTTTAGCAGCTGAATCTAACATCAAGAACCCACATGTTAAGTTAAGCAGCTGAATCTAACCACTGTCCACTATGTTTATGACATTGTCAAAAATAGTGGTGCCATACATTCTGATCTATCTTGTAGTCAGCTATGTCATTTGCCTGTGCAGCAACTCCCAAGAGTGCATCAGTACATCCTGTACAGCCTCAGACACCACCTATGGCATTGCATTCTGGAGCTAGCATTGCTGCACCAAAGCATGGAGCACCATCATCAGCATCTGTACCAGCATCACCAGTGATCATTCCTGCTGCCCACCATTTGAACCACCTCCTGGACCATATCCATTTCTCTCCTGAACCTCCAGTGACAGCATTGCCTCCAGCAAAGAAGCCGAAGATTGGTGATGGGTCCAGTGATGATCCTGGACCAAGCAACTTCCAGAAATTGCTGGAGGCTATTCCACAGCCCCCTCCATTGCTTCAACAGCATTTTCACCTTGGCTCTTGGCAAACCATCTACTTTTGAAGACACAGAAGAGGATGCAGGGGTCCTTGAGAGACACCTTGGACCTTTTCACAAGGTGGGTTATTTGAATACCCGGCCAGTGTGGAAAAACATGAGCGACACCTACATCTGGTGGTGCCTCAAACTTAAGTTCTGGATTATATATCTCAGACTATCCTATTCACGAACTTGTCAATCCAGCCTGGGATGCAATCGAAGTGCACGCAATGATTGACCCAGAATTTCAGACCATTTGGGAAATTTGGGCTCCATGGAATTCCGAGAAGGCAACCAGCACAGTTGCTGATTACACGATCTATGAATGAAACAAGCTGCTCATTGAGCATCAGGCCACTGTGATTCAGAAACTAAGGTTGAAGGAGATCATAGGCCACTTCTCAAAACCAGCTGGAAAAGCCAAATGGTGGCTGTGCAACGGAAGCTCTTCGGCGCCAAGGATTGAGCGATCCAAGCAAGAAGACCGCCCGCTGAAGCGGTTCGGCTCGCCTAGGCGACGTGCCACGGGACTGTGGTTCCACGTGCCACGCCTAGGGATCCACTGACCTCCGAAGCTATGACTGGAGCCACTTCAGCTCTCCCTGCTCATCCTGCTACACGGATGCCAATGGATGCTGCATGGGGATCGTCTTCCAAAAGGCTGTGCTAAGGCAGTCAAGGCGTTTTCAGAGGCCAACACCAGCGTTTTGCTCAGGTCAATGTGGCCAACACCAGCCGACTGCAGGCCGGTTGCAGTCCCGCGGGCCGCATCTCCGCCCGGTTGTTTCGTCAAGAGAAGACCCCCCGCGCGCAACTGCGAGGGGAAGGGATCTTCGCCCCGCCCCCGCACGAAGCTTGGGGTTTGGTCAGCTGGCTGCTGTTGAAGGAGTGAAGGCTGTATGAAAGCCAGGGTGATCCACTGTCTGGGCAAGGGGTGGTTAAGAGCGGAGTTTGGCTGGAACGGCATATTTATACCAGTCCCATGGAGACATGTTTGGGTATATGTCTGGGTGATCTTCCATTTGTTGTGAAAATTGGGAGCTCACCAATGGGAGCAACTGATGAGAGGTTCCCGCCATTTCGGAGACCTGGTCGAGTTGGGCTTCCAAATAATATACTGACCACTTCATGATCGCTCTCACCCAGATGCTCAAAACCAGCTTTGGGCCTCCAAACTCCAAACCTGCATTGCATATAGCTTGGTGGGACGACCCCGACCGACCCCGATCCGGTGGTTTGGGGCGATCGCGCAGTCGGACGCGTTGGACGGGCAGGAAGAATGCTTTGTTCTCACGATCCATTTGTCCAAGGTGAAGGACCCTCTGCGCGACGCGAGACGCGGATGGGATGAGTGATGTGCTCCGGGAGAGAAGAGGAGTGAGACGAACATGGGCGTGGGACGGGGGTGAAACGTTGCTGGAGGAAGAAAACAATGGCAACAGCAACTTGACCTCTCTGTTTTTTTCTATGGCAACGTGTTTTATTGCTTCCTTCACACACCCAAAAATAGGATCAAGGACATTCAATGACAAGGATGATGGTTCGGGAATGGGATGTTCTGCACACATGAAGTATTAGCAAGCGATAGCAAGGTTTTTCCCCTGGAAAAGTATTTGTACTGCCAGGTTTTTGGCCCATGATCTTCGATGTCGAGAAGAAGACATACATGCCAGAAGGACGAAAGAAAGACCAATGCCATAATTAATGTCAGCAACGACAAGTTGTTGAGCAACCAAGCGTTATTGCTCGAATTAATTTGGAATGGATGCCTTCGTGGATCGTGATGAGCCATTGTCGATTCTGGAACTTGTGATGAAGTGATAGATCGGACATCATCAGCACAAATTCTCAAGACAATCACAAAGCGCCATTCACTACTCCCTGAAATTTCACAAGAGTCAAGAGCTTTCTTGAAGAACTACATAACAATGCGCAATTTTGAGGGCGGCGCCAAATCGAGCAATATAGTCCAAAAGCCAAGCGCCCAAGCATCCTGCTCGATGCTGAGACTCAGTATTGGATGCAAGGCAAAATGAATCATGTTTCTGCCATTGCAGTGGGAGAGGAAGCCAGCATCGGTCGACGGAACAAGGCGGCTGATCCGATCGTGGAACGACATCCAAAGCTCAGAAATGGAAGAGAAGCCAGAGCAATGGAATGTAATGGAGAAGTACATGTCCGCAGGGCTCATGATTGGATGGCTGCAGTAGCCGATTTGTTCGATCTAGTCCGTAGTACTTGAAGGCTTGGCTCGGCTGCTGTTTGGCACTGGGGACGAAGGGCTCGGCTCGGCTGCTGATGTGTTGCACCGCCCAAGCACGGGCTTTCTGCAACGTGGACCCAGATAGGCACTACCAAGAGAGATGAAGTGAACTAGGACCCACCACCTGTGCCTGGGAGAATCTGTTTCGGGTTTTTCAACCTTGCTTGGTTCTCTTCATTTTTGCCAAGCTCGGTGGACCTATTGAAAAGCTCGAGTTCTCTTGACGAGGTGGGGAGTCCACTCTTCAGCACCCCCCCCACGGAGTGTTCTGGCGTTTAGGTGCCGCGGTGTGGGCCCTGGTGGTGACCGGGTATTTTGACACGGTGGTGACCGGCGATCGTTTCTGTGTTCTTTTTTCCAGACCCGAAATCAAAGCAATGACCATGATTCGCCCGTATTTGCAACATGTTAGCAACTTTGGGGTTCACTTGATCGCCATCCATGTCACCGTTTCGCAAGACTCGACCCCCAAAAGGCGGTGCCTCCGAGGTGTGCCATCGAACGTGTCGAAACGAAACGAACATGTTCTCAGACACCCAGACACGACCGATGGACTGCCGGTGGGGTTTTAAGGCTATTGGACCTTCCAGTCCCATGAGGTCCAAATATATGGGATTGGAAGGTCCAATCCCATGTTCAGGCTCATATTGGGATGGCCTAATTGGATCTTCCAGTCGGTAAGGAAATGGATGAAGACACCGGTACCGGTACGTCTGCTGAAGGGAGGAAGGCAACGATCGACGCGTGGCACGCGTCGAGGATTCGGTAAACCTGCCAGAGTTCAAGGCATGGACGAGCTGGCTGAGGATGCTTGGGGGGGGGTGCCAGCTGGGAGTTTCCAAGAGAGGTTGGTGAAGTGACCTTTTTGTGGCCAGTCCCAAGTCTCAAGCAGAAATTCATGGAGGATGGAACTCCACTACAGTCCCAGTCCCACTGAAGCTGGCAGCATAGAACTTAGAACATCCAGAACTGTGTCTGGTTGCGACTGGGGTTCCAGGTTATGATAGGATCCGTCACCTGAGAAACCTATGGGATAGTCAGTCTATAGGGATCTGTAGGGTTCTTCAACCTTTGTTGCTGGAGTTGGGTTCAAGACACAGGCATCCGGTGTCTGAGAGAAAGGTTCCAAATGTTGAACCCTCACGTGGAGGTGGATAATCGTTGCTCCTTTATTGCGTACTGCACCGCTTTTCAGGAAAAGAACGTTTTCACTGGTGCTGTGTGATATGAATGTTGATCTAGTCCATGCGTGAGCAGTCGAACAGTCGTGCCGTCTCAACGATGATCCAACATAGACCAGACTCCTGTCGGAACACGGACCAGATGCCTGCAGCTTGCAGGCAGTGATGCTCGCAGCTTTGCGTTCCATCGTGCCTGATGAATGGGTGCCTTGGCGCGGTCGGTTCCATCGCCCACGGTGCTGGGTCGCGCCGGTGCTGGGTCGCGGTGCGTCGCGAAGGCAGGCGGGCATGGAGGCATGGCGTCCGCAGAGAAGTGGTGGCGTTCATTGGTCTTTGCGTTCCTCTAAAACGTGCCACGAAGTCCACTGGATGCCAAGTGCCAAGTTCTCGATTTTTGGGGCGGAGGTGTTCTGAACGTGTTCTGAAGCAATACCCACACCTTCGCCGCGGCTGGGTTTCTGCTTGAACGGTCGGTCCATCAGCGGGAGCCGATGGATCGGTCGGTACACGGAGCGGTTTTGCGGAGAATCCGGGTGATCTCCTGATGTTTTGCACCTGTTTCCTATCCCAATCATGATACATACCCCCAAAACCCACCCCTGGCGTGATCGGCATATATGGCAGTCCCATGGAGTGTCTGGGTATGAGGTGAATTCCCTGGCATGGGGAAGGTGATTTTCCTTGGTTCCTTCAGCACATCCAAGTTGACCTGGCCAGAAGAACCATGTATGATGAGTGCTGAGCTGGCCCGTTGGTCTAGCATGGCTTAGCTGTGTTGGCTTCGCGATCACACCCTGGTATGGGGGGCCACAGTCTTCATCACATCGATATAGGATTTGAGAGGTCCTGTTGAAGGGGCAATGCCCAGGATTCGATAGACCCGAGGATGTTGCTCTGCGATGGGGCGAAAGATTGTAAAATAGATCAAAATAATTCAAAATAGCAATTAGCATGATCATATATAGCAACTGATATACAAGCCAGCTCACCGACTAAGTAAGTAGCTTGTTTCAACCCTAAACCACCTTTCCAGTCCTGCGTGTTGCTGAGAACATGGATCACGAGATGGCCTGGAACTGGCTCTGGGAGAGCGTGGAGCGGATCATCTCGCAACTTGGACGAGAGTGGAGCACTTGGGACGTCGGTTTTCTCACAGAAATGGCAGTGGACACTGACACTGCCCGTACATCCCTTGTTAGTGTTCCCGGGGGTGGGGGTGTGACACTTACCTAACCCCCAATCATCCCAACAACAACAACAACAAATCAGAACACCCCGAATCAGAACACCCCGAATCGAACACCCACCGATCGGCACAGTTTGAGCCAAGTCGGTGTGGATGGGTCCCTTTCATCATGGCGCGCCTCCCTTTCATCATCCAGGTCCACCATCTCCTTCCCACGGGCCTATGAGAAGACGATCCGGACCTTCCTCTTCGAGCAGAGTGAGGTGGGGCTTCTACGAGGTGGGTAGGGCTTCTGCGAGGTGGATGCCTCGGGGCATCGGTGTGTCACACCCAGACCAGACAGACATGGAACTGGAACCAGATACACTGTGTGACTGTATAGCTATTCCATACATGGATGATGTGGAGAGGGGGGGTAATTCCGGACGAAGCCCAAAGCATCGCAGATGTGTTGGGATGGCAAAACCATGGCAAAACCATGAGTTCGCTGGGAGTTTCTACTGGTTCCAGTTCAACTATATAAAGGTTCATAGACTGAAGGACATCCAGTGGTTCCTATAGAAACCCATTGGCTGCCTGGGATTCCACTAGACGAGTGGTTTTCACCGGTTCCGCCCGGGATGAATTTCACTTCCAACCAGCTCCAACTGGATGGTTTCTTGGCTCAGCAATCGACAAACCCAGTGATTCAATCGGGAGTCTCAAACCCGAACACTCCGTGGCATATTTATCTTTAACCGGAAAGTCAAAGACTATATAATAAGATAAGTAATAAGATATAATAACAATTGTCTTTAGGTGAGCCGAAAAGGAATTTTCTTTACTTTACTTCAGTCGGTCAAAATAGTCTTTGGACTTTTAGGGTACGGTATATATATTTGGGTGTGAATGTAGGCATATATTCCAGTCCCAGACGTGGTCGCGTTTGGGAAAAGCATCAACACCTCTCGCCCCATCTCTGACCTAGCATTCTGTGGGGATCAGGATCTCCGACACGACCGGTGGGACTGCCAAAGAGAAAGAAACAAAGACCAAAAGAGAAGCAACCTGCACCTTTGTCTTGGAGATAGAAGTCTTGAATCTTGAATCTTGGCTCCACAGACATATCTCAGACACCACCACCTGTCTTGAAAAAACTGGGGGTGCTTGTGACCATAGCCCCGAACAGATGTGAAGGGATGTGTAAAACAAATCACCCCGAAACGTGGGTACTGGTCGAACTTCTACCGAACTTGGCTGGTTTGATGGATGCAAAGACAGAACTTTTGCGGTGGAAGATCTAGGTATGTCCCAAACACTGACTCCAGGGGACTCGAATCTATTGAATCTTGTCCTTTTCCCTTTTCAAGCACCACTACTAGTAGCTAAGAAGCTATTAGGTTGGAGGCCAGGGCTATTAGGTTGGAGGCCATCCCTAGTCGGTTGGAGGCCTTACTACTAGCAACAAGAATTAAGCTGTACTAGTAACAAGGCCTTGGAAGATCTGCTTTGAGCGGGAAGATGGTGGTTTTTGGGCGACCTCATCGGTGGCGGAAGGGCGTGAAGACCACCGCGTGGGCGGATCCGAAAGCTTCGTCTCCCAGAAAGGGGTTTTAGGGAAAGTCGGAAAACCATATCCCAGACGCGACACATGGGACTATATATGCCTACATTGACCCCTAAAACCACCCCAACTGATCGGCATATATGGCAGTCCCATGGAGTGCTTGGATATGTTTTAGTGGGTGAAACACCATCGAGTGTCCTGTATACTGTATACCTGGACCCGGCTCCACAGGTCACCACCTGTCACTTGTGACAGATCTGTCCAAAACCTCCTTGTCGACTCGACCGGTGGTAGATGATCCCTCAAAGCCAAGTCGGGTCCGTTGGATGTGAAGGCTCCTTTCGGACGTGGGTAGACCTGGATCGGTCTGCGTCAGTCGACGTGGAGATCTACCTGCTTCCGATTCATACCAAGAGGAACCCCATAGATGACTCCATGTTTGGGTGACCTCCACCCCAGAATGATGACCTTGTCCTTTCAAAAACAGGGGTCCATGTTTCCCAAACACTCCATGTATGCCACGTTTCTCTACATTTGGTTGGTTTGCAGGGCCCATGGAGCCACATCGTCCAGTCGTGGTCTGGCTTTGGGTCCGGGCTCCGATGTGCGGTGCGCACCTTCCGCCGACTGGAAGGCGAACATGAATCAGCTGCGGGCACAAACCTATTCCTGCTTCTTCCAGCGCTGCCCCTCTGGGCAGGAGCCGTGTGGGAAGCCGTGTGCGCTTCGTCCGGGTTCGCCGGCAGTGGGCAGTGGGCCGTCCGGGTTCTCCGGCCGTTTCACGCGACCGGTGGTGGTCCGAGGACACCGCGACGACGAAGCTCCGCTTCCATTCGTCCGGCGGTTTTGGGGACACAGACCAAACACCTCTTGACGAGGCCAGGAACGACACTTCTTGGAGGGCCAGTGGTATGTTTGACCAGTGAAGCGCGTTCACGGCAGTCGGCCCGTTGGCGTCCACAAACCCATGCAGATTGATGAGTGGGATAATGCATAGTAGTCCAAGAAATGTGTCCCAGATGCTTCAATCAAAGGAAAGCCTTGAAATATGCTTGACATGTTGCTTCAGATTTACTTGGAACCACATGCTTCTACTTGAGTCATATAGTCACAAAAACACAGGTAACAGTAGAATAACAGCTCCCAAAAACTCACATGGACTCTGAGAATGGGACCCGGAAAGACGACGATTTTCCTCTAGCTGCACTTAGTGGTTTTCAGGGTCTATCTTCGTTTTCCACATGGTCGACGTTTCGGAAAGGATGGATTCCAGTGGTGTGGGCACGATCTCCCCACCGAACCGGAGGAGTTCTATGGGACTGGAGCCCGTAACACTTGGTCAGGACCATCCATGAAAGGAAGAGTTACCTTCGAACTAGTCCATACCCAGACACGACCCATGGGACTGCCATATATGTTTACATTGGGGTGGTGCCAGGCGGGTCTGTCTGGGGCGGCAGTCCGTCCAGTCCCAGACGTGTCGTGTCTATGGAATGGATGGCTTGGGCCATGTCAGGACCACTTCAAGCAGTCCACCACGCGGCTCTATTTCATCCTGGACCGGAACTATGCCTCTCGCCAGAAGACGAAGACGAAGACGAGAATCGCCCAGAGACGACGGACGACTAAGCGAGAAAGCGTCCTGCCATGGGGTGGTTGATTTCAGGGGTAATCTGTTCCAGGCCAGGAGTGTTGAACGGATGGAACATGCGCACGTGGATATAGGAAAACAGGGCACGGGGCCACATGTGACCATGCAGAGCCCACGCGGCATCGCCGCACCGGACCGCCCGTTTCCCACCGGACGCCCGTGACCGGTGACGTGACCCGTGAGTTCGGGTGACGCCGATGGGTGCGGAGTCGTCGAAGTGGACTTCGGAGGAACCAAAGGTTTGCCCAACCCAGACACGACCCATGGGACTGCCATATATGCCGATCAGGCCAGGGGTGGTGCCAGGGGGGTCAATGGGGCGGCATACATGGCAGTCCCATGGGTCGTGTCTGGGAAAGGTTTGCCCAAATATTCCTGTGATTTCTTCCTGGACCATCCAGTCGGGGTGCCGAAGTGGGGAAGCCGAAAAAAAGGGTGTGGGGTAGTCCAGCCAGGACACCCCGACGGGATGGTCTTGGTTGTTTCTACTAGCTTCAATTAGTTACTAGTAGTAAGGCCCGGAGCTCCGTTCGTAGCGTTCGATCGCTCCGTTCGAGTCGCGATGCCCGAAATGCTCCAAACGTCGCTGAAAATCGCCTGCAGACGTTGTGGGTCGCCAACTTGGCGGGGTCAACTCGTGTATAGAGCGACATGATCACGTCTGAAGTCCACAGTGGTTTACGCAGCTTCTCTGCGCACGGTGCTTTCATTGAATCCACTCTTCAGTGCATGGATGGATCAAAGGAACCTCCAGGTGCATGGGTGACTAACCAGGTGCATGTATGTCCAGGTGCATCCTGGTGCAAGACATGGTCCTGGCTTTCTGAAAGGCCAAGTTAGAGGGTTCCCACCAAGCTGTAAAACACGGACTGGGCACAGATCACCTAAGGAGATGGTCCTGGAGATTTTCGAGAACCCAGCGAAGGCGGGACTCGATCGGTGGCTCACCGAGGACGAGTGGTCACCGACCCGATCGGTGAAGGGATGAGACTGAGCTCTGTTGGGCACCATGCTGTTTCTTTTTTCCAGCGGAGAGTCATTTTTGTTTAGTGGTCAACCTTTTTGTTGAGGCCGGAATGTAATAACTAACTACCTGTGGAAGCCTAGGCCGGTAGTGTGGGGGTAGTCCAGCCAGGACACCGCGACAGGATGGTCCTGTTATATTGTTATATTACTCAGTCCCATGTCTTTTGTGTTGAATGATTTTTTGCGAAGGTGAGTTAAGGCGTCCTATCATTCTCCAAGTTCATCCCAAGAGGAACTTCGCATGCACCACCAACCGACGTCCACTCGGATGCGACGGGGAGTGTCTGTTGAATGGGACGTCATCTACGGGGCGGGCAGTTCTGAAAGGAGATTTCCTTGTAGTCTCAGCTTCCCGGAAGTCCTATTGGATCACCTGACCACACCTTCCCTAGCAATCCAAGTACCTTCTCAGAAGGTGATTGGAGGCACTGTTATGTTGGTTTGGAGGGTCCAAGTACCTTCTGAGAAGGTACGACTGGATCCCTAGGGCTTTTTTGGGGGGCTCAGTGGGTCTCCCAACCATCCCCACCCCACTTGATCGATCGAACCGGTGGAAAGTTCGGTGAAGCGTTTGTTCCTCGTCGGAACGGCTGCACAATCTGGCGCTCTTCACTTTCAAAGCCCTCTTCAAAGCCAAGGTTCGAATAGCCAAGATCATCGTACTAGGGGAGCCTGGTAGAGCCTGGTAACTGTTGCCATGAACCAAAAGAACTGGCATAGCCCGCTTGCTTCCACCGGGAGGGCCTATGGTGTAACGGGCACAGAGGTCCCGCCGCTTCGAAGTCCTCATTAAAAGGCCTATCCCATCCCCATGGGACTGGAAGAGTTCACCGACGTTGGGGTCCTTTTCATGGGGCAGCAGACGGCTCTATAGACCTATGTAATCTCTTCCAGTCCCGAATGGTGTGAGATTTGAAGTGGATCCCCAAGTGGATTCCAGGCACCGACAGCTCCGCGCTCGAACGCGCTCGGCCGCGCTCCGCGTTCGAGAGACCTCCCCCTCCAGGTGGTCGAGGACTTATCGGCCCTCGGCCTGCGACATGTGGGCTTCGGAGTTCCTGTGGAGCGCCTGGATCGGCCAAAGCGGCGTTCGCGGGGTTCGTGGGGACCAGTGGGTTCTTTGGGCGCTAGACGGCGGGACATGGAAAACAACACACGGGCCAACCGGGGGGGGGTTGGAAGAGCAACGGGCGGGCGCAGGAGAGGAAGGTGAAATGACCGAAGAGGGGACGATCGGTCCATTGTGTTTTGCTTCATGGAAGGACTTTGTGCCCAGATGCGATAAAATATGCCGAAAAAACACAGTACCTGAACCTGTCATGTCTGGGACACCTGGGCAAGTGTTTGTTCAACATCATGGTTCCTCCACATTCGTTACGTGGTCAGGGGTCACATTCGGCATTCTAAGACAAATACGTGTCGGTGTGTCGGTGTGTCCCATTACCAGCAATAGTCAGTATATGATTCATTATAACCTTATCTTTGGGAGAGGCCTGCAACCTAGCCGTTATCATCCACAGGGGCTGGTTTTTGGGGGATAAACCCAAATATCCAGATTCAACCTGCCTGGGACTGGAAGATATGCCGATGCCAAACTCGATACGTGAGGCCAGCCTGGCGCCTGAGGTTCTTCCCACCCTTTGTCGCTTCCGCCGTCGAAGCCCTGAACACCCTCACCACGGACGATGCTTGGGTCTGACTGGTGGGAACTCCAAGCCGTTCGATCAGTTTTGGGGCGCTTGGCAATGACCCATATATTCGGGGGTCTACATATAATATAGTACCTGGCTGACATTGCTTTTGCATGAGAGGTAGCCAGTGACCTGAAAAAGGACCCGGAAAACCTGGGGTACCCAACTGGGATAGTCGAAGACCTGGGTTCTTCGACCTTTTGGTTGCTTGTTTCATCTGAGAAACCTCTTTCATTTCCCCATTTCTGGGCATGTCTCTCATAGTTCCAGTTCCTGTAAAAGTGGCGGGAAGAGGGTAATAAATGTCTACAGAGCGTGATTACACGTGCAGTCTTTGGTAGGGTAACCCTGTAGCCTTCCGTCGTGTGACCTTTAAAAGAGTTCGGTGGACCTGTTGGTGTAGTGTCAATTCCTTAAGTCAAACAATGGTTCTTCGCTATGGAATCCACGGTACAATTCATGGTGGGCCGGCGGAAGGCTGATCCGGGTATAGCCAATCCTATGGTTGGTGTTGTTGACATCCGGCGATTGTTTTGACATCGGAAGATAGACGCAACAAACAACAGTCAACATCTACCGGTGCAGTCTGACCAGCTCCAAACCTGCTCCAAAAGACCTCATTGAGCAGTGTTGTTGTACAAATCCAGTAACATGGGGTCAAACTGACCTGTAGGGCAATAGTTAATCGTCTTCATGTTACTAGCCCTTTATTCTGGTTGGAGGTGGGAACTTGAACGAATTAGTGGAACGACCCTAATGACCCATGTTTGTTGGGTGTCAGCTATTTTTTTGGCAAGACCCTCTCGATTTTTGTTTGGGCATCATTCAGAAACAGATCAAGATCATTCAAGAGTTGTTTGGTTTTCAGAAACTGGTTGGTGATCCTTGTGAAAAGACCGAAGACCTAGGCCTTTCTTTACCTGTGGTGACGAAAGCCTATAGCTGCTATAGCTCAGCTCCCTCAGATGACCTATGTCCTTCGGAAGACCTATGTCCCGCAGCTGCTCCGCTGCCCTCTTCACATCCAACACCCCTTCCCGACGTGCAGAAGCTCCCGTGACCGTGACCCTTAGGAGGCCATTTCCCAAGCCTTCACGTGGAGCGAAACGTCGCTTGGCTTTCCACCAAGACTTCTACTGATCTGACCAGAGTCGGAGTCAGAGTGACGTATGGCACAGCAGATCAAACAGGTGGATTTCGAGGCATGAACAGGTTTTCCAGGGGTTTTCCAGTGAGAGGAGTCAGACCCAGCAGTCAGATGCAGTCAGGCTTTTTCAGCAAAAGGATTTGAAGTGTCCCATTGTTGATGCAATAAACCGGGCGGTTTGGATCGGGCAATGCCAGCCCCAGCGGTTTTTGAAGAAGAGTTCACTCGGTTGGCGAGCGACTGGTAGGCGGCGGCCCAACACGAAAAGGGTGCTGAACTATAGGTCAAATGCATCAGCTTCATGGCCCACCATTGGTTTAATGAATAAATCATCCCGGTTTTAACCATTGTTTCACTAGAATTCACACTACAACAGGTCAACTGAGCTCTTTTAAATGGTCAAATGGAAGGCGAGGCGAACGGGCCAATGGGCTTCTGCAGGGCCGACGGTCGCTGGGTCCGTTCCCAGGACCTTCAGATCGGGGCTTCCAGCCAGCCTCACCCCAGCGAACGGTGCAGCCGTTGGTATCGTTCTCCCCCATTCATCCCGTTCGATCAGCACCGGCCAGGGCACTCCGGGCGTGACCTGGCTCCCCGGCTTCCCGGCTCCCGGTTCGCAAAGTCTCAGGTTGATTTCCAAGATCTTGATGAGGGTCATCCTGGAGGGCACCCCGGCTTTCCAGAACACGCGGCATGAGCGATGCCAAGAACACGCGGCAGACCGGGCGGTGTAGGCACGGAGAGTCAGGTGTGGGCTGAGTTGTGCACGAGAGTGTGGTCGCCACTCGGTGATGGAAGGGCCCTCCAAAGAAATGCGACAGGTTTCAAAAGGGAGATAGGTGATAGTCTTTAGATCTCCCAGAATACCGCACTGCTGCTCGACAAGGTGGAAGGTTTGCAAACATACGAATAGCAACAAATTTGAGATAAATTGTGTGATAAAGTGTTGGCACACTCTGTGCTCAAGCTATAGAGAAAGTTGCTTGGTACTTGATGATCCAACAGCTTTTTGTAAGAGCTTAGGTTTAAAGTTGTTGCCGCAGTCACCAGCAGTTTGCCGGGTGCGAGAATAGAAGCAGTACTGGTGTCGTAGGCTGAGTGGAGCATAGTAGAACCTATATTACATATATACGTATTGAGCAAAACCTGGTCCTGTATCTCATTGAGACACCAGCAAAGTAAACCTACACCTCCAAGTACCTCAGAAGGCACAAACCCCCCGGACCCCAGTCCCACCTTCGAAACGAAGGGTACGAGGCCAAACGGGTAAAGGTCCGTTCATGACCGGTTCACTCCGGCCTCGACACTCCGGCCTGAGTGGAGCGGAGCCGATGCTTTGTGGAGCGGACCAGATCCAACCACCGTGGGATCGTCGGGGGGGATGACACAGAAAGATGACTCAAAGGGACCTCAGGGGACTCAAAGGAGTCAACTACAGAGCTTGGGGTGCTTCTTCTGTTTATTGACGTGAGTGGATGTGTTCTGGGGGCACCCCACCTCCTCAACTGGCACCCAACCTTCTTCCTCCAAGTAATTGGCACCCCAAGCTCTGTGACGCCTGGGAGTCGTTTCTTTTGTCTTTGAGCCGCCATGTCATGGCACTCGAACAGGAAGTCAGGTGCCAAGCAAACCGTTCAGAGGGGGTTCTTTCTCTACATTCTGATGATCAAATAACTACCCGTAATAGAGCCTTCGGTCACGCACTTGGGCTTCACCCTCAGAAGATATAAGTCCTTCACTAGGCCGGCACAGGGCGGGCTAGCCCAGACCTTTGGGCTCTCACTAGTGAGTACTACAATCCGAAAGTGTGAGTTGCTGTTGTTCTTGTTCTTGTTCTTGTTCTTGTTCTTGTTGTTGTTGTTGTTGTTGATGTTGTTGTTGTTGTTGTTGTTGTTGTTTGCTGTTGTCTTTCTGTTTATAGCAAGACCGAGCTCGATACGCTCGAGCTCTGCTGATCGAACCCGAGGCTCCACGATCGTGATGAAGGCGATTAACCTCAACGAAGAGGCGCAGAGTGACGAGCAGCAGAGTGATGAAAAGGTGACGAGATGGATGTGGCAAGTCCCATTTGGGCTCTTGGCCCGCATCCTCAGGTTTGGTTGGTGGGTGCCAAGGGGGTCAGTCCCCACCTGAGGATATGGACCAGGTCTCACTGTCAAACCTGAGGATGTGGGCTAGGAGCCCAAACGGGATTGATGGGTCAAATCCCCCCAAAAAGGGTCAACATGTGCATGTGTGTGTGTTCCTGTCTCCCAAAGCGTTTCGTTCGACGAAGCCTGTATGGCAAACCCAGACACGCCAATTTTTTCGGAGTACATAAATCTATGCTATTAACTGTAACAAGGCCTCACTAACCATCATCATCCATTGTTGCTGGCAATAAAATAGACCCAACATATGCTAAAAGATGCTAAAATGATAGCCAGCATCCCAAACATACGTGAGCAACGAAGGACTCGAGAAACTTCAACTGAAACTCCGCAACTTTGGTGCGGTTTCCCACTTCTAGAATCTCTCAGCTGCTGCGCATGGCAAATTCTTTCCGGGACACCCACGCCATCCCAGACCCACATACTTTATCATACTTTTGCACTTAAACGATCCATCCATTCACCTGGAATCAATGTAGCTACTTGTAGTACTCAGTAAGGGAAAGGCCCGTTGAACCAATTTCACGAGTTCCTTTTGGTCCCAATCACACACCCCTCCACACCACTGCCTCCATTGTGTTTTAAAAAAACACAGACGACGTGCTCCCACGCCACGACCCGACCACGCCGCGTGCGCGACGTGCCGCGCCTGAAGAGGCAGCCCTTCGAAAAGCCATTTCAGTGGCGCCTCGGGGGCAGCGCGCGCAGCAGCTGCTGAACATTACGGCGGGGACGGAGGGGATGGAGGGAGACACGGACGGAGGAGCGGTGTGACCCGTGTAAACCTCACAGGCTGCTGATTCATGATGTTTCCGTGACAGATGTGTGTGTGTGTGTGTGCGTGTGATGTTTTCTCTCTTCCTGTTCCTTCTCCACTACCTCTCTCCCACTCTCACTCTCACTCTCTCTCTCTCTCTCTCTTCCGTTCCTTCTCTACCACCTCTACCTCTCTCCCACTCTCTCCCTTGTTCCCTCTGTCTTTCCCATCTCCTTCTTCTTCTAAAGTGTGTTTGTGTGTGATGTTCTCCTCACAAGAGAAGATGGATCACGTCACTTTCAATGTTTTTACTCAAGTTGAGGCAAGCTTGGTTGTGAGGGCGTGCGCATCGCAAGTTCTTCCGTGGCAGAGTGCTCAAGCGAAAGAGAACCGCACATTTGAAGCCTTGCTTTCAATACTGTATTAGATTATAGATGGAAGGAATTGCATGTGAAACTAAGAGCAAACGGAGCATGTCCCTCTTTCAGATTGGTTTCACCAGAATTGTCCTTCAAGCGCAGGGCCACATCAGTTTGAGCCAGAAACTTAGACAAAGGTCCCCATGTTTCAGTGATTGGGGCCAGGAAGCGTCCCTGCTACCGTGCTTTGGCAGATTTTACTAATACATTAAATTCACTCCATCATATATAGGTCTATGTCCCAGTAGAGCTCCCGTCTTCAGCCTCGTCCGCTTTCGCTCTCGCGAAACCCGTCCTCCCCCGGCGCCTCGTTCGCGTCCGTTCGGCTCGCGGCTGCTCCGGTCGAGCTCGCCAGGCTGGGACGCAGTCCTTCTCGCCGCTCTTTTGGGCGATCGACAGTGGGTCCTTGAACTCGGCCAAGGCCATCATCCAGGACCCGGAGAGGCGAGAGGCGAAGAGAGGCGAGAGGCCGGCGAGAGCCCGAAGAACGACCATGGGTTTTGTTAAAGCAACTGCACTGGGTGGAAGGTGCCGTTTTGTGGTTTGTTGGTGGTTTTTTTGCCGCGGGGTGCCGGTCCTGCAGACTACTGGGAAAAGACCGGAGGGGTCATCATGGCCTGAGGTCCTTATTCAGTCTTGGCACAAGGGAAATGGGCTCCGCAGAGTGATGGTGACCAAGTGTACACCGCTTGTGCTGGGGCCTGTGACTCTCCAGATAACCTCCTGATGACTGGAGAATCGTGCTTCGGGTCATGCCCAAAAATTGAAGTGCCATGGTCCCCCGTGGCCAAGTTTTTCGGCGTTAAGTCCCGGGACGAATTTCAGCGCATGATCAGAAATGCTGGGGCGAACTTGGAGCAATACCGGCAGTTCCAGATCTCACAGAGCGTCATCTTCCTGTACTTGATTATGCAGTGGATGGTGGCTTTCTTTGAATGGGCTACTGGAAAACAAAGGGACATTTTCAGCCACGTCGCAACTCCGCCTTTTGCTACAGCGCAACGTCAGCCATGAGCTTTCAGCAACCACCTGACGAGAGTGCTGAAACTTCGTTCTGGGCAGCGGTCTATACCGAGGAGCCCCCAAATGTGCTGTGTGGCGTCTTGACTGATTTGAACCTTCACCGCTTCACTCTCCACCAACAACTGATCATTGGTACTGTCATTACGACGTGCCTGACCATGGAATTTGGCGTGTTCGGACCTACTCAGAGCGGATTCAATCGCTTGTTTACCTTGAACATTTCACTTCACCCCATGACATCCCCCTCACCTGGCTGGTAGCTTTCATGCTACGCCGCCACCCCGTACCCCACCCCACTGAACCTACTTGGGTTCAAACACTCTACGGCGCACAGCACCCTCTCTACACGTGGACCCCGGACGATGTGCAGGCCAAAGCCACAGCCGTGGTCTTGGGCCTAGTGATCTTCCAGACACGAATGATGTCCGTCAATGAAATTGAGATGGCCGTGATGATTCAGTGATGATGATGCTCTATTTTATCAATGGAGCGGCCTATCTCATGATGACGCCTGCGGCGCTCATCATCTCAAACCTCTTAATGGCCTCATTGATCCTGCTTTATGGCTTGGTCTTTGAGCTAGTTGTGACAGGTTTACCGGTGTACTACCTGTTGACACCTTATTGCCAATGAAAATGCGCCTGCGAGTCCTGTTGCCATTGGCAATAGTTTCTCCAATGTGTCATGGGCGGAAATCCTGACACTGGTAGCGAATTTAGCTGCCAGGACATTCTTGATCACAGTCCTGCTTGGCATCACTACTTCTAGTGGTACTATCTACCAGTTTTGAGGCGTCTCAAGTTGGATGGTCAGAACTTCAACCACATTGTCAGTATCGGGGCTGTCGTCTTTATATAACCCATTCTGTACGGCTCCTGGGGCTACGGTAATGGAATCCAACTTTGAGTATGGAGCTTCTACTCAAGTGAAAGGATCCATGAAAGCTGTCTTTGAGGGAAAGACAATTAAAGACCTAGCCCCTTGGCTGATGAAAAGACTAAATCAGTGGCGTTCTCCTGGGTTTGGGGTGAGACAACCATCTCTTCAATGATCTTACCAAAGGTGGTCGCTGAGAACCAGGACTTGTGAAGCGTTCATACCTAATGACCTAATGACGAAGGAGATCGCCTGTCAGCCCAAGGATCCTAAGAAGAAGATCAGGGTCATCCAGCACCGCTTGGTAATCAAGCATTCTTTGCTCTTGATCACGAGAGCCTTCTTTCTTGTCGTGTGGTAAGCAGAGCTCCTCAATGAAGCCAGTCGGCGTTGTGCATCATCCATCTTGCGAGGAGCCTTCTTTGCAGCTGCCTTCTGGGCCCTAGACCCATTGCCTTCCCATTCCTAGCTTTGGTCTTTGCCGTCGCCCCATGAGCTTTTGCCTTTCCCTTCGGTGCGCTTTCTCTGGCTCCTTCTCGTGCTCTTCCTTACGCTCTTCCGGCTCCTGGCTGCTCTCTGACAAAGCCGCATCATCTTCAACAGCTTCCTCACCGTTCTCACCTCCTCCCTTTCGCCTTCGCGGGGGCGGACAAGGTGGAGGCAAAGACGAAAGCCTGTGGCAGGCTTCGGGAGCTTTCATTTCCTCAGAAGGGACAATGTATTATATTTGTATGCATGCTGTAGATGTTTGGTCACCCTTTACCCATCAACTCCGGACCAGACACTGCAGCAACAGGACTGAAGCCGGATGAATCCATGGGTTGAGTTTCCTGCTCATCCATCCCTGAGAACATCCAGCAGAAACTAGCTTGCAAAAATAATCAGAGAACACATCGACAGCTACCTCAAGAATCTTCAAACTGAGGACAGTGCAAGACTTCTCAGATTTGGCAAGTGGAGCGGTGACATGGCGCTCCAGGTCCAGCGCAGCCAGCCTTGCAGCTACACTCTGTGCCGCGTCAGGTGCACCTTCCTTTGCCAGCTTGGCTCGCTTGCCCTCTGGGGCAGCTTCCGACTCCATTTCCTTTCTGGCTTTCCTAGAGACAAAAGCCTTTCGGGCACCTTTCACTCCCTAGACCTTTGGGTTTCCATCTCAGAAGCCTTGTGGGCAGCTTCCAACTCCAAAGCCCTTTTGGGTTTCCATCTCAGAAGCCTCTCGGGCAGTTTCCAGCTTCTTGGCCTCACAGGTTTCAGCTTCGTTCTTGGAAGCTTTGTGAGCAGCTTCCATCGTCACAGCTGCTGTCTCCACTTCAACCTCTGAAACCTTTTTGTCAGCTTTCCTTGCATCAGCCTTCTTGGCTGACACAATGCTGTTTGCGACCTCCAAGACCTTTGAGCCTTTCTTGGCAGCAGCCTCGATCTGAGCAATCCTTGCCTCAGCAGCTTTCTCACACGCCTCTAGTTCCCTTTGCCATGACTTCTCCCTCTCTTGCGCAGTGCGGTGTGCTTGCGCGCCGCGTGCAGCCCATTGCGCATGGGTGCTAAGAAGCATCTGACGGTGAGCGCAGAGGCAATTGATCAGGAGATTGTCATCACAATGCAGGGCATGACATGGGCATTGAAGCCGTGGTTGGACGAATTGGGATTTGAGGGCCGGTGGATGGAGGAACTACGAAAGGAGTTTTGCCCAAGGAGATGCCATCATTCAGAAGCTCAAAGCCGTGCTCTCGAACATGCACTTTGAATCTCATTTTGAAGCAGTGCCGTGGTTGCAGCAGCAGCTGCAAAGCTAGATGACAAAGCTTCTAATTGTACTAGCTCCTTTTGCAATTGATCTCCTTCCATGGGGGCGGAAAGAAATCGGAGGATTGCCGATCAGATTTCAACAGGCAATGGACTCTAGGCTTGATTGCTAATGTGGGCAAGGTGCGCATTGCCACCTTCTCTGGTGTCAGCTCAGTGCCGGGGCCTGTGAACAAGCAGTGTATAACTGAAAAGCTTCCCTTGAAGAAAAGACCATGAATGCCTGCTTCAGGACCAGGAGGAGCAGCAGCAGGAGTGTGGACTGTTGAGCCTACCGTACTTGACTGATCAACATGGTCTATCGAAACCACACATTCCATGAAAACAATTTGGAACCATCAACAGTGTGTTCAAAGGAATTCAGCCACACTTGCAGAGTTATTCAGACCCACCTCCAGAGCCTTTTGAAGACGCAGCTCGGCCACTCTCCTTGGCTAGCTGCTTATAAGAATGATCGTTCTGTTCTATAATTCTTGTAACCTTTTATCAACTCCAGGATCTGAGCTACAAACCCCCTCAGACTCTGAGTCCGACAAGTCAGGTCCCGATGCAGAAAGGAGCTGGGCAAGAACTCATACTAAATGACACTGCTTGACTGTTGGTTGGGACTTTGAGCCCTGCATACCTGTAGATGGCACGGATCTGTTCACATCGTGGCACATGTTTGCGCAACAAATGCTGCTTCGTGGAGCTTTACGCGGTTTCCTGGCTGCAGCCAAAGCCGAAGTAATTTAAAAAAACATGGCTTAATTGCTTTAGCTGATCGTGGCCATCAAGCCGAGTGTCCATTGACCTCCTCCCCACGTGGGCAACACATGCGGAAGAACATTTCAACAGCGTGTTCCAAGGAAGACAATGATGGTCTCATTCCAAGGTGATTCAGAGTCAGACCCGCTTGATCACACCTGAAAGGCTTGCAATTGAGATGAACTAGTCATGGTATGGCACTAACGCGGATACTACACATGCTACAGTAATTCTATAATGTCAACTGCGTACAGGGCGAAAATCCACGAGTGATCTTGGTGATCTTGGTGGTCTTCTTCCCCTTCTGGATTCCCAGTGTGCACAAACACTGGTTCAGACCAGCAAGCTCCAGGTCAGGCCGGCCATTCGAGCTGGCCGCTAGGTGAGAAGCCTACTCAAAGGTGGCCATTGTCCAAGGATTGGCGTAAACACGGCTTGGGCAGGAACTGCATCATCAAAAGATGCAATAGCATGACATTCGATCTTCAGAACATGCCAGCATGCCGGGGCAAAGCTCACAGAACACATCTAACGCAGGGGCGCTTGGCATCAAAGATCCCTGCAAACGAAGCACGTGCATGTAAAAAGACACAAAAGTGTAAAGATGTGGCCTTTCTGAAAAAGATCTTGAGAAACCCAGCTCTGGTCACAGGCATCCATTTCCGTCCTGCTAGGGATTGGTTCATGGGTGCAATACAAAAGCATCGAAAAATCAACTTGCCTGGAAGCACACATTGCTGGGTCCTTGGCACATAATTGATTTCCGAGGACAGGAGAAAACGACCCACGTGCCTTGAACCCCTCCAAGGCTGCAAAAGCGGCTGGCGCAAGCCATTCTGCACACTCAATGATAAAAACTGTCAAAACCTCACCAAACCCTCCGAATTGGGCCCTCACACCAAAAAGTGCTCGTTTCCGACAAATGTGGTCGATTTCCAAGTTTGTGCACGAACAAAGATATCAGGTAGCAGACCACCAAGTGGACACATTAATGTGTACCAAAGGGGGTAGACCTTGGCACAACACGGACAAGTGTCCCCTTGGACAACTGTTCCCGGGACGGTACGGTACCCGTGTTTAATGATTGCATGCAAAAACCATCCCTGCGTCGTTGTAAACGCCCTTTGGCAAATGAGGCAAACATGAAAAGACTGCGCATGGGATGGAATGACTACTCCACACCCAGTGGACGACACTTGTTGGGAAGGCTTTTCACCGACGCCGGACGCGGCCGACATCGCGGACCGCGGACCGCACGACGTTCCGGCAGGACTTGTTGACCATCCGTGCGGATCGAGAGGTCTACTACTATGGTTGTGAGGACCGATCTGCGCGTTGGGAACGGCTTCGCCCATGCGAAGCCCCACCTGGATGGTCTGGCGACCATCGAAAGGTGTCCAGAAGGGGGACTGATTGTTTGACAGGCCACGTAAAGCAGTACAACAAGAAAAAAACACTTACTTACGTGTTTTACTCTAGATTTTTCCATTTAAGAAATTAGGTCTATACTTGGTTTTGGGGTGTAAAACTCTCAGTATTCGCCATATGGCTATGGGTCCAAAACCTGCAGCCCTAAATCCTGGTAGGTTGAGCGCCCAGTCTATCTTAAATTAAATGCTTTTCGGTGGTCGACCAGGCTCCCCTGGTTTTGACCCACCCCCATATCCCCATTTGACGGGTAGACCGGTCTATTGTTTTTCTTGAAAGGGGTCATTGCCTGGGAAGTCTCCCTATTTGAACATGAATGTGCAAGGTGTTTGATACATAGCTCGATATACTTTGATATTTGTAATTTATAAGCCATTGGGGGGAGTGGGTTGGAAGACTTTTTGGAAGATAACGTGAAACAAGTAGGCTGCTGTTTCACTGTTCTGTTGGTTTCAAACGGATAGAACTTTGAGGAAGATTTGCCTGACATCCTGCATTGGCGGTCGTGGTTCTCAACATAAGTCCTCAATACACGTGCATTCCACCAAAGCAGCTTTGGCAGCCTCCTGTGAAAGTGCTAGAACATCCAATGTCTTGTTCTGATGTGAAGATGTTCTCAAACCTCGGTGGCCAATTCTGCACTCCTTGCGTTGGCACTTGTGCTCCATGCGTTGGCCACGGTGCAGCACAACCAGCTGCCACGATCGGAATGTCCACGCTGCACCTCGTTTCTTCCGCATTCCGCACGGTTTCGTCCGTCAACGCGACGAAGCGACGTGAACTCTTTCAACGCAGCGACACCAGGAACTCTTTCGCCGACACCCGAACATCATCAAGCGCCTCTGTACGAGCTCCTCGGCGCGTTCCGGCGAAGACGCGAGATCGAAGAGGTTCGGTGCGTGGCCAGGCGATCGAATGATGTTAAAGGAAAAACTGTATGTGGTGTACCAGCACCCTCAAGGGGTGGTTAATGGACACCCCTTAACAGCTAAGAACCTATAAATAGACACTTGGAGGGTCCTGGTATGTGGTGGTGGAAACATAGCTTGTTTGATGTAGTGCAACTGTATGTTCGACCCCCAGCACCCAAAGGTTTGGGCTGGAGCCGAAGATGCTTGTGGAGCGGCCCCTCCTTTCCGCCTCCAGGGAAACCACTCCGACTGAATCCGTTGAAGTGGATAGCATGGACCGTTCATGATCATGACTCATCCAAAGGCCCAATTCCGGTGGTTTCCACTCACTCCACTGACGTCCATGCTTATGTCTGAGTGGTTTCCCCGGAAGACGTGTGCTGTCTCGCCTTTGAGAACCTGACCAAAAAAAACTGGCCCACTCCTCCAAAGAACCGCTAAACCGGAGCGGCACCGAGCGAAACTTCACCCCCCTCGCCGCCCTCATTTCCCGCCCTCGAAACCGCGCCTCTCGCCGGGCCCTCGTCCGAAGCTCCAGGTGCTCCGACGCTCTTGGAAACGCTCCTGGACGGCTTGATCTGGCGTTCCCGGGTGACCAGCGAAGGCCTGCGACGAGTGACCCGACGAAGGCGAAAGCGCGCGCGCACCAGAGTGAGGTACGGACCGGACCGGTGGGGTTGGGATGTTCTGAAGGGAAAGGGATTGGAAGAAAGTGAGCTGGGGCATAAGCAGCTGAGGTGAACTACTACATCAAGCACTTGATCCAGGACCTATCCGCATCGCGTCACGATCCCCCTTTTTCCGTGGATCAGCTGCAGGGAAAAGCTTTCTGAGATTTGGGATAGACATGGTTTGCCCGCCCCACTCAACTCCTGAGAGGGGGTTTCTGGCTACAGAGAGGGGATCACACTCATTGCCACAGCAACACAACGTCTCAACCACATGAGCTACGATCAAAGCCCCAAAGTGCATTGGTTTTGAGGGGTTATAAGTCCCAAATACTCCATGGGACTGGCATATGCTCCATACATTGACCCCTGGTCAACCACCCCTGGCCGTTTCTCGGCACATATGGCAGTGCCAGACGGGTCGTGTCTTGGAGTTGCAGATGAGCAAATTCCAGATCCATCTGGTTATAACTCGTTCTGGTTTTGTCAATGGCCTGACAACCCATTCTACGAGATGTCGAAGAAAATGACCTGCAGATGGCGCTTCCCCGGAATCGAGACCGGAGAGTGAGCCGGGTGAGCGTGTCCCTGTTGCAGTCCTCCTGGTGTTGGGCAAACACCTTCGCAAAGTTGGACCCTTAGAAATTAGCCCAGATTGGCCTTCAAATCGATCCATCAGAGGTGCCAGATCTTGTGGAGACAAATGCAGGTGCTGCCTCTTAAGAATAGATCTTTGCGCACGCTCTCTGAATCTTTCCACTGGATTGTTGAGCACATTCAAACATTCTCGGGTGATACATTGATACCCACCTCTCGAAAGCAACGGGCATGGCTTCAGCCTCACACTCTTGGGCTTCTCCCCTCCACATCGCTTTGGAGTCTCCGGTAGACTGTCGAATCGCTTCGCGAGACATATGGGTATGCCCTAAACTTTACCGAATCAACTAAGGATTTTACACTACAAACACCAGGTCAACCAATTTTTAAATGGTCGAACGGAAGCCTATAGCATATGTTGCATGTCCCAGTTTCAGCCCCACCTATACTCCTCGGCAGGGACCAGTTTCTGCCCAGGTCCGCTACGGTCGATCCAATTCGTCATCCTTTAGACCAAACACGCTTTTACTGTAACTTCTCACGCTGAACGCCCGCCCCCTTTTCATACCGGTTTGGCGGGATTTGGCGTATGTTTGTAGGTAGGAAAACCGCTTCTGGGGAATCTCCTTCTTCCAGGTTGGACAGCAAATCCAGGTCACACCGACCCACCGGACCCACCCGTCGCCGTAGCCGTTCGGCATCGGGCTCGGCGGTTCAGGATCGAGGGCATGTAGAGTGCATCCAGTATGTTTTCAGGGACTGAGCTAGCGGCGTTTTGAGCTCACTCACCAAGGTTTTTGCCTGGAGGAAGATGAATCGATTCATCCTTTTATGACATGTTATGAACAAATATGAATAGTTGTTTTATGAAATGGAACGTTTATCCAATTGGATTGGCTTATATATATATAATTACTTTAACTAAATTCATTCTCCTTTCCTGCCAGGATGAGGAGGGCAACTTTGCACCTGCCATGGACGATGTCGTCCAACATGCCGACCCCAAGACACTCAGCCTGGAGGGAGAAAAGCGATGCACCGCTTTTCCGATCTCAAATTTGAAGAGCACCCTGAAGTGAATCACCTTGAAATTTGAAGCAGAATCACCTTGAAGAGTGAATCACCTTGAAGTAGAAGCTGAAAGCTGTCCAGTTTTCAACCCCAGACTATCCAATGTGTGGAATAATTACATGCGTTTACCCCATGTATGACCCTAATGCAAGTAACTCTTCCAGTCCCAACAGGGGTTCGTAATGGTTCGTACCATATGATCAGATTCATTATCATATACCTAGATAGCCTGACATGACTAGTTTTCATACAGGGAAAATCAAGAAGACGCTTGCTTGCTGCCGTTTTGGAAAACAGAGAGACCTCAGGCTGCGTTGACAGTGGGATTGGCTTCCTACCTGTATTTTTTTCCACACACGAAAAAACGCGTGCTTTCTGCTATGTTGTGACTTGCGTTTACATGGGGGAAACCAGTTTATCAAGTTTGGAATTGGCTTTATCAAGGTCTGGACTTATCCGTAACGCGTTTACGGCGACCGGTGTGGTGCTCACTATTCAGATGGTGTGGATGTGCAGAGCGTGCAGAGTTCCGACGAACGGGTGGCCACGCACTGGTGGCAACGACCGCCGTTGCCGGTTCCACAAAGATTGAGCATGAGCTGCTTCAGACCATCTTTGGAATTGGTTTCGATGTATATAAGTGGAGCGATCATGTTTGCTCGCCACAGTTGAATGTCAACATATGCCAACCATGTGTATGTGTGTAAGCTCAAACCAATTTGATTTCAGATGCCCCATCCATCAATTTTAACTTTCTGTGTTACTCTGAGGTATTCTCATGAAGTTATCCAGCATCAATTGCCCTCACATGCCCATCCCCTCAATTCTATCTAAAAACCATGGCCAGACCCTTTGTGGAATACCCTACTGCGATCTCGATCGCGGTGTTCGTCGCTGGTTTTCGTTCAATCCCCCCGACCGAGTCCAACCGAGGATTGCAAGCCACCCGTGCATGATCTTGGCCACGGACATGGCATCCTGGACGCAGTCGTCCGCGGGGTCCGCGCGGGGGTTTTGCTGAGTACAACTATAGTGTTCGGGAGACCCAAGCGGAGAACGATGACCTCATAGCAGCCTCCACCCTAGTAGCGATGGCCTCCACCTAGTAGCGTCCACCTAATAGCTTCCAACCTAATAGGAATGGCCTCCGACCTAGTAGCGATGGCCTTTGAGACCCAAGCACAGGATAAGACAAGTCTTGAAATGTTTACGACGTGTTCGAGGGTCAGGGAGTGCGGGAAGAAAGTTTTTTGAACAGTAATGGTGATCCGGAGGAGAGTGGTTTGACGGTGGTGTCAAGACAGTAGTGAATGGGGGCATACCCGGCCGGATTCTATGCAGGATGCACGCTGCTTCGTCCACAACTATGTCCAGAACATGAGAATGGAGAACGAGAGCACATATCAGATTGCCTCCCGCTAGGGATAAGCACGAATACCCTTGAAACCTGCAGTGTTTGAGACACCTTTTGCAGACATCCTTTTTTCCTCCTACCGTGCGCGTTGCTCGACACTACACACAGACCAACACAGCACAGCCCTCTCTTCAAGGCCTGACAGGCCTAACAATTTGATGAACTTTTTGGATCAATCCGATTGGCCCCTGTCTCAAGTAGAATCCCACCAGAATCTGGGTTCAGCCATGAAAAAACTAACAGAAATCAATGCCACCCACACTCTTGGGCACCAACAGTACCCAGTCCATTCGTATATAGTTACGACCACATGGATGAGACGTGGCAATCCCAATCGTCTCATTCGCCACGATGCCTGGCCTGGGAAGCCTTCCACAGCGGCGCCGCCAAGCGCGCTCTGACAACAGAGGTTTCAGATCCCTAGAGAGTACCCCATCAGGTACCCGGAGAGGTGCTGCAGGAGACAGGTCCTAAAAATAAGTCACTTAAAGCCTCTCCCTGGAACCGGGTATCGTGGAGTGAGTCACCGCCTGGCCCTCCGGTCTTGTGCCACAAGCTGCAGGGCGAACTGCGCAGACAGCGGAAGATGAAAACCTCAAACATCGGGAAAGAACCCCAGGCACTCCATGGGACTGTATGCCAATCAATTGACCCCTCTATCAGCGCTCACCTTTGGCCGTTTCTCGGTACATATACCAGTGCCATTAGTCGTGGTGTTTGGGATCTAGTCCTGCTTTGAACCGATGTCAAAAGGGCGAATAGGATCCCGAACGTTTCTCTCGGAAAGGCGGCGGCTGCTTGAGCGGCGGCCGGTGAACACCTCTCTCGGAGAGGTCAGGGACCTCTCCCAGAAAGACCATCCATAGGAATCCAAAGGAATCCAATGCACAGGAAAAATGGCTTGTATAGATTAAATATAGAGGTCTAAGGGGAGCCCAGAAACCCTTAAGCTTTTTACCTTTGGGGCTGTACCAGTACTTAACCCTCACTGCCAGGTCTTTCGTTGAGGGTGCCCGAATTCAGAGGTCTCAAGTCGACCTACAGAGTCGGGTCCTGGCACAATCTTAACCCAGACACGACCCATGGGACTGCCATATATGCCGCCCCATTGACCCCCCCTGGCACCACCCCTGGCCTGATCGGCATATATAGCAGTCCCATGGAGTGTCTGGGTAAAGTTTATTCTTCTTTGGCATCCAGGACTCGGTGGGTATGAAATAGTTACAACCACTTGGATTTGATCTGGTCATGCATGGGATCAATAAACGGTTCCAGCCGGCTGGTGAAGCAACTGCATCGTATCTTGGTTTGTTTCCGAGCCAAATCCTTCCACATCACATCTGGCTTTCTTGGCCTGCCTCAGGTTTGGTTCAAGTTTGCCACCTTCTATTTCTTGCTGAGCCACGCCGGTCGCATTCGTCGCTGTGGGAGAGCCGGGCCCCAACGGTTTGAAGCTGACGATACGTCCGGTCAAGCTGGAGTGGGTTCAGTTGGGGCATTGCGGAGCAGAAAAGAAGGGTGTCCCCTCATGGACATGTTCATAACCCAGACACTCCATGTATGCCATATATGCCTACATTGAGGTGGTGCCAGTGGGGTCAATGGGGCGGCATATATTCCAGTCCCATGGAGTGTCTGGGTAATAGCAAATCAATCGGACATTTGTGATACCGGTAGCATCAATCGAATCGGTGGGGAGGGCGGTACGAAGCTGTGCGGCTGGACGGTTCCAACCACTATCATACATTGCAGTGGATGGAACAGCATGGAACAGTGACCCGAAGGTTTTACTTTTTTATCTTATATATAATATATGTTTTTTAAAGCAGGATCGCTCATGCGATTCATTTGGTTCCTGGATGTTTGTTGGGAAACATAAGTGTCCGGGAACGGGAACCGACCACTTCTGCCACCGAGCACCAGTGGCTGTAAATGAGACCAAGTAAACCCATATGCACTTTAAGTCCTGTTGGCTCATTCCTACCAGGGGATTTCGGTATGTTGATCTAATATTTTTGAGGGGCCGGGCCAGCCAAATCTGTAGCGGGTCTCAACAAGCAAGTAGGAGTTTCTGGAGCAAAGTGATGAGGTTTGCAGGTGAGGAACCCTCCGCTTCCACCCCCCATTCGGACAGCTTGGAGTTCAACCACCGCAGCTCAGTGCTGAACCAGCAGTTCAGCACATCCATCGTGGTTTTCGCCGAACGACCCGCACACGGCACCGCCCCAAATCACGGTCCTTTTCATCGCAGCGAACGACATAAACCCATGGCTGTCCTCTCGTCCTCCCAGGCCTTCGGACCTGTGGTTTGGTTCGTGAAGACCAGTCGACCCAATCACTCATCCCCAGACACGACTAATGGGACTGGTATATCTACCTTCAAAACGGCCAGGGGTGCTGTTATATCTCGGGGTCTGTCTGGGGCGGCAAAAAAATGACAGACATGACAGGATGTGTTTGGGATCTGAGTCGTGCACCGAGGCCGCGGCTATTTCCTGTTCACCTTGCTGGTCTTCGCCTCGGGGCAGACCATCCTTGTGAGACACCAGGCGCGCCGATGGTCGGGTCGAAGGGCTTCATCCGATGGTCAGCGGCGGAAAGTCGGTGGCTTCCGCGACTTCCTGTTTATTGAGCACACCCCAGTTGATGAGGATTTTGGGGGAAAGGGTAGTAGAGCCATCCATGCAGAAATGAGAAAGCCTGGTGCATGTTTTTGAGGGAAGTTTGGACATCCACTTCGATCATCCTTCAAGTTGGAGGGAGGGATTTCTGGTTTTGAGCCAGGAGTAACAACAGCAGATGATATGTTCAATTCGTCGAAGTTTGCTTGAGGTTGTTTCATGCGGTGTCCTTTGCCCATGAGTTCAGATTGAGGCTTGAGGAGCAAAAGCCACCATCTTGTCTAGTCTAAGGAATTTGGACACAAGCAGGTCGAGAAAGGTGCCGCAAAACGCGCAGTGTGTGGATGCCCCTGCAGAATTTCGATGTTGATCAATGCCAGACCTGCTGCCAGACCCGAGTCCTGCCCGTCAGTACCTGGTCACCTGAACAGGATATGACCGAGTGGAGTTGGTGACGAACGATGGGATATATATATTGGCCGGGTTTACCCTACAGGGTCAGGAACTGACCTTATTTGGAGTTGATCAGTTGATCAGACCAAAGCACTGGTTCCTTGCACGTAGCAGGTGACCGACTACTGGGTCTGTATTAGTATGGACTCGCGGACTCCAATTCGGTGCTCGGTTCGGTTGGCATCTTCGGTGTTCGGTGTCAGCATTTCGGGACACATGGATTTGGTTCTGTCGGACCAAGCAGGATCTCGGAGGATGCCTGGAAGAGCCACCTCCCGGAGTAGCCACTTTTTTCGAGGAAGCAGCAATTCTGCTTTGCGGCCCCCGTTGAGACGGGAATCAGGTCGAAGTTGGCACCCAAGAAAGAAGAAACCTCAGGGATCCTCAGGGATGCCTGATTGCCTGTATGCTGTACTAAACTATAGCACTCACCACCCACACAGGATGTTGGTAAACACATGGTCAGGGAAGTCTAGAAACCACTAAAAAAGCTGGGTGGTGTTGGTACTTATGGTACGTCGCTTCCCTTTTCTTTCTGAAGATGAGCTGAAACCATCCACGGCCATCCACCATCCACGGCCACGCTCTTGGCAGGAGATGGAGACACAGGAGGAGACGCGACGGTGGAACCACCACCCGAGCGACGGACGGGTCGACCGGCCCTTCACGGCTTCCCTCGAGCCCTCCCAGACGCGACGGCTCTGGGGCTCTGGCGAAACGGCCGGGCCAGGGGTGGTGGTGCCCGGAGGGTCAGTTGATAGGCATCAATGGCAGTGCCATGGAGTGCAGGGGATTGATTGAATGGTCTGTCTGCCATGGAGTGTAGGGACCGCCCCAGTCCCGTGCGAAACGTCACTGGACCGTGCGGAGCGCGCGGAGCGACCGAACGGGGAAGTGACCGAAAGCGACGCTCCGGCGCTCCCAGTCAATATCACTTAATTGGGTTAGTTAGACTTGGTTTTGCTTAGGGTGATGGAACCAACATGGAAGTGGAGTTCACCCCCTGTTTGTAAAGGAAAGTAGTCTTCCAAGGGACCATGCCATCCACATAAGCAATGTTAGTGAGTCAGAGTGTAACTATAAGGATTGTGCCAATCACGAAGTAAGCCACCGACCGTCTCCCCCGTTCGCCGGCATCCACCACCAAAGAATCCAAATCATTTCGAAATGCTGGGAATCACCTTGGACCTATCCTTAGCATGAGCTCCTTAGCATTACGAAGGATTTCACCACTACAACAGGTCGGTCAACCGAACCTTGCGTGTCGGAACCACCGAACGGAACCACCGAACGGGAAAAAAGGCACCCCAAGCACCGCCGGTCGGAGAGCGAAAGCGGCCGCCGTGGCGAACGAAGGCTCCTGTCCGTGGTGACGGCGTTGGTGTTGTGTTGTGGAGCTAGTTGTTGTTGTGTTGTGGAACGAAGAACACCCAAAACCTAGGTCAGCTTGTTGATTGACCTCCCCCTAGTCCCAAAACCTCCCAATTGTTTAACCATCCACGCATCCTGGGTGGTGCTCGCAATTTCAAGCTGAAGATACTGCAGGGTGTCCGAGTACCAGTAACTGTTGGCCAAAGATTATCACTGTTTGTTGGTACAGGCAACTATAACTTATGTTGCTAGCAATGGTTTAAGGGGATATGGGTGTGTGTTGATAGAGAGACCACCCAAAGACCCTGGAGGAAGGAAAATAGACCAAAACCATCCAAAACCCATTGGTTGGTTGGGTTCTCCCTATAAAAACACCCACCCACATTATATTATATATTTATATATATTTATATCATGTTATATCCCTACCCAGTCAGTGCATAACCTTTACAATTTCTTTTTGGGGGGTGGTTTCCCACCTAAATTCCAACCTTTATTCTCCAGAGAAACGGCAGAAACGGCTCAGTCTCCAAAATATCGTGTCAAGACTGTCGGTATGTGAAGACTGCGGTGAAGTTCTGTCTGTTTTTTCCCCAATGGGCCAAAGAGATCGAGCCAGATCCGATCCGCCCCTAGGTCTAGTCACTAGAGACGACACAACAGAAGACCCTCCTCGCCGCGAGGGTCGACCCGAGATACCGTCCAAGGGAGCGCTTTACATCTCGGACCTGGCCTGTCAGATCCGAGATACCGTGCTAGCAGGGGAGTCCCAACAGGACACCCAAACAGGATGGTGAAACGGTGGTTTTTGGTTGGAGGTGACTTGGTTTGCTCCCGGATCCAAGTTATCCAGTGCAGAGCCCTCGAGCGCCTCGAGCTGCGAGCCTCACTCCCGTCGCAAGCGCGAAGAGATGGTTTGTTGCACGGGGCAAGGTCCTGGGTTTTGCTCAGAGTCAGAGTGATGATTCTCCCTGTGGCCAAATCCCCTTCTGGGATCTTTCTTCCAGTTCAGCCAATCCAATCCAACCAGCCAGAACAACACTGAGTCCCTCCCGTAGGAACGCTACGTCATGCTGGGTTGTCGCCTCTTCTTGTACATGGTCGTCGCTTGGAGCCGGATCGCGAAGACGAAGCGGAACCGGAAACGGAACGGACGGAACGGTCGGACGATCTTCACCTTGGTCCAAAGAAAACATCCTCCGAACACATGCAAGATCATGCAAGTGGAGTTCACCACCTGTTTGTAGAGGATATGTTGTTCTCATGCAACGGACTGCCTGCCATCCACCACGTGATGTGTTCGTCGTATTCTCGGGCTTCTCCCCGAACCAAGCATCTTTCGGTGGACGGGAGGCTGAAGGGATCGAACCGTCGCTGAAGAGCCCGCGCGCTCGCGCGCCGCGCCTGTCCTCCCATGGTCCGGATGCGGTCCTGAAGAGGTTCAATGTGAAACCTGGAGAAGCAATCGAAAGAGAAACGATATACATATAATCATTTGAAGTAGTGGAAGGGGTAGTGCTGTTGCATCATCAGAGTGATCCTGTATCTAACCAGTCTAAAACTGCGAATCATTAAAGCAAGTCTCTTTCATGTGTGACTCGGCCTCCAAAAAGTGTTCCCAAACCCCACAAACGCATCCAGAAACCACGCGATGGTCGAAACCATCGCGCCATGTCTTCAGGTCATGCCAGCCATGTTAGCGAACTTTGTCATGCTCCTCGGCAGGGGGTCGTTGCTTCGCCGTTCCGAGGGTGATGTGCTCCGGTGGCTTCTTGGGACTTCCCCGGCATCGCAAGGGAACGAACCGACCAAGAGTGAGCGAGCTAGCGATCTGCGCCTGACCAGAAGATGGACACAGATCTTTGACCAGACAGGTCGTTCTTCACACACTGCAATACACATTCCTGGACCTGAAAAAGGGCTGGGATCGACCTGGAGATCCCAAGTAGTGAGCTGAGGGCGCGCGCCCATGTGACGTCCGACTTTGGACACATTCATGCGCAATGAGCTGGGTGTGGAGTTCTGGCTCTGCCCGCTCCGGCTCTGCCTGCTGGTCCTTCCGGTTTTCGGTGGAGTTCAGACCTACTCACGACCCCCTCGCGCCCCAGCGCACGGAATCTCCCACCATTCCAAGCCAAGCCAGATCATCCTCGAGAATATGGAAGTGGCCTGACAACCGACGTTACCCCCGTTCTGCGGCAAATACCTGGCTGGTTGGCATCCGGAAAGAGAATTCAAGAAGAAAAAGCACAGCGTTCAGATGCGTTCAGAATCCAGACTGGTACACTCTCTTAACGGCAGGCCGGGGTTGACATCGGAGTGTATCACCACATATCCGAGAATGGTGGCGGCCACCCACCCAATGGGTGCGCCTTTCGGGCCGTTGAACACCGCTTCCACCACCACCACCGCTACAGCGGAGGACTGGAAGAGTTTCATCATATAGTTCCCAGACACTCCATGGGACTGCTATATATGCCGATCAGTTGGGGTGGTTTGGGGGGTCAATATATGGCAGTCCCATGGAGTGTCTGGGGTTATTAATACAAACCCAGTGTGAACATGACCCCCTCCATTGTCATGGAACTCTTCCAGTCCCAGACCTCGTCTCGTCACCTGGGACGGCGCTTCCGCCGGCGAAACCCTGCGATGTCCTTTCGTCACCGTCCCTTGTTCCTAGACCATACACTCCATGGACCTGCCATAGATGCCGATCCAGACAGACCCCCCTGGCACCACCCCCCCGAACGGCCGTTTCTTGCCAGTCCTTTGTCCCAGACGGGTCGCGTTGTAGGCGCAGGGCAGGCGGACCGGGCAAGAGCGCGCGCGCGCGGATGCCCGGGCGTCCTCAGGCTGTGCATGCGGGACGTGCACTCGCGGCACATGAGCCGACTCTGCGGACTGCCCATCCCAGCCCCTCGGGTGGAAGGGGTTGCGCGTTCGCGGAGGTGGATGGGAGAAAGAGGGGGTGAAACTGATGGGAGTGGGTGAAGCTCCTACCCACATGGAGCTTCGTGTCGATGAGATTCCAAAAGGTTTAAGAATCCAGGTAGATTCTCTCTCTCTCTCTCTCTGGTAAATTACACTTTTTCGTTGTTGGTCCGCTTGCGAGTCTAACAAGTATCCAGCAATGCGCGATCCAAAAGGTCGACTTGTTGGTCTTTCTTCGTCCGTTCGGAAGTGGTCGATCACCGGTGATCATTGAAGCTGCAAGATGGGGGGTGAACCATCCACACCCTCCGATGCGGGCTTTCCCGCCCACCCTCGGTGCCTCCCGGGACACCCCGGGACACCCTCCGGTCCTGTCTCAACGCGACGACTCGCGGGGCCAGGCGAGCCTGAAGGAGTTCGACAAGGCGCGCGGAAGACGACGTCGGAGAACGAGGTGAAAAGAATTGCCTGTCTCTCCCTTGGGGGTGTAATGTTGACTCTTGATTCATAAGCCCCTCGTATGAAGAGGATGTTCGATTCAAGTGGGGGGTGTTATTAATCAACTAGTCTACATTAGTGTTTATATACCTGTAACAGTCGGTAAAGAGATATCACAACGTTAAACTATAGTACTAACCATCAACCAAACCATCCCAGTGCTTGGTTGCTTTTGTGAACGATAGTTTTGAGAGTGTGCAAAGCATGACACCTATGCGAGGGGTGCTCCATACTTCAGGCATTCACTATTGTGTTTGATGGTTACAGAGCATGCCAGGATGGGTAGCTGGTTACACAGCAAGAAGAGAATCAGTATGAGATGTGGAGATGTGTCCGAAAAGAGGAAGTTGGATCAAGATTCACCTCTGAATGTGCAAACCTTGGGACTTGGCACTTCTATCCCTTGCAGTTTGCGGTTGTCGGGTGAAGTGATGTTGTATTTTCAAGGTCCCTCTATAGGGCTGTGCAGTTGCCAACGCACCCCCAGACTGCTGGGAGTTGAGTCGCTGGGCTGTGTTGTTTCCAAATAAGACCCCAGCAGCCCGCAACTTTTGGCCGATGGTTCCTGGTAAAGCCTGGGGGTGTTGCCTCCAAAACGGCACCAAACCGGCTCGGATCGGCAACACCTGGACCCTTGGACGGGTCCCTTACGCAGAGTCGACGAGAGTCGACGACGCAGCCAGGCCTTGCGATTGTGCCTGCTTTGGGTGATGGTGTTCTTGCCACTTGGCATGGTTCGACAGCGTGTGATTCATTTCGACAGCACCGGTGAGAATGGGGCCCCGGAGGGCGGAGGGCGGAGGGGACAACGGAAGTGAGATGGCATGGGGTAGCTTGTTTCAACACGTTTTGGAGAAACACCCAATAGTGTGTCTTCAAAATGACATGCTTTGATTCACTGATCCTTTTTGTTTCCTTCATCCCGCCAACACAGAGTGGAATCAACACTGTTCCATGTCCCTCGTTGGTCAGCGTTTGGGGTTCCAGACCATTTCGCCGCTGGAAGGTGCCACTCTGTTTTCTCGCACCACCCAGCTTGGGGGTTAACCCTGACCATCGGTTTTCCATCAAACATCCTTTTGGGTGGTGCTGTCAAGGATCTCTTGTGGCCTGCAGGATCTCTTGTGGTCTAGATGTTTGGTCGGCCAGACCACGCAACATACACGTTGTGATGGTTATTCAAGGACACCAGCCTCCGTGGGATAGATTATGGTGTGACGATTTGGTTCTATACAAGGCATCGCAGACATGAGTGAATCCATCA